GTACAAATGAATTTATGTAAATTTAAAAGCAGTTCATTTTTTAATAGTTATTATGCATGTGGACGTTTCCCCGGCCCTTGACCGCTGAAAATCTCAATTGTTTTCGTAAGTGTGGCGTGCTATTTAAGCAGTATAAATCTTGATTTTGCTGTTTATTCTCCCTAAATCAGAAATTTCCCTCGACATATTCTTGTGTCGCGAAGATGATTAAATGATTTGTTCTCGAATTGAACCATGACACCTCTGAGGAAAACGAGTTAGTTTTTATCATATAATCATCAGCGACGAGATGCTAAAGATAGAATGAAGTAGTGAATCTGCAACCAAATATTTCTTTATTGTAAAAGCGAGATTATGAAATACGGCACACCAGTAGTGTTCTGAAACTACCGATTTGAAATACATTTTACTCCGTGGGATTTTATCGCAGACTAAGGATTTTCTGTAACGGTGATATCTTAAAATTAATCGAGCATTGCAATAGAGCGGAATAAGAGTTGTAGGGACAGCTCATAATGGTGAAATTGGCAAGAATACAAATCAAAACAAAATGTAATCGGGCACTTTGCCACACATTTTTTATGGTTGCGGATTACTGTGGTATTTTGGAGTAGTGGTGCTTTTATTTTATCGACGTAATCGCAGATTTAATTTATCACAATTAAATATAAATAAAGCAACCATTTTTAAATAATTATATCGGTCATGGATTAATATTTTATTCAACAGGAAAACCGTTACATATCCGTTGACAAAGTCGGCTCAGTCTTAACGACCGGCGTAATCTCGAGGACTGACTCAGGATCCGTACCGCGGGGATTTCGAGTCGATGAATATGTATTTTTCATCTACTAATATACTTTATATGTATTTTAATTGTACTAAATTAAATAAACTTTCTGGGATATTATATCAGATCTTTCTAATGAAGACAACGAATTCGCATGAGTGCAATATACATCAAAACTAAATATAATCGGGCAGTTGATCACACTTTAATATGTCCGCGGATGAGTCGCCGCAACGCGAGTTACCTTGAACACGAATGAATTAAAATAGTACGTGCGAGTAATTTCAATATCTTGGCGTTGCAAAACATATACTTGAGCTTGTGCGAAGCTAACAAGGTTTGTCATAAGATCAATTACCAAAGTTTTTGTGCGTGCAACTACTATAAACCATATATTAAATAAAGATCCAGATATTTGTATTTGTCCCTCATGTATTGAAGGTTGCACACCCCTGTTCTAAAACATACAAAACAAAGAATCTTTGAAATTTTTATTGGGTAAATACTAAATGAACGTTTTCAAGAATTTTAGTCTAAATAGGGCTGCAGTACATATAGCTTAGCTTAAGAATTTTTTCACCGTGACTGAGGCTGTGGTCTTCGTGTTTAATATAGGTCCAAGACTTACTCTCAATAGTTTGGAATATATAAATTTATTGACATTGACAAAGAAAATTTTAAGCATCATATGAAATAGATCCCACCATGAATTCTGAAAATCAGTAAAATACTGTAATTGTCGAGTAACGTATGTTTAGTGAGACAAATCAAGAAGTCAAATCCAATTGAAACCGGAAGCCCTCAAGATTACTTTACAAGCGATTCAAATCAACAAAAGTCCATACTAAATTATACGTCTTTTGCATTATGCTGAAACGAGCAAACGCAAATAATGAGTTAAATTTCTCATCTAACTAAAAAGATAATATTTAAATTTCTCATTTAATGTAGTGCATAAACTCTAATAAACCCGATGTAAACAAATACATCTTACAATTAGGTCTGTTGTTATGTGAACTATCATGCAGCAGAAAATTAATCATTCAGAACTATTTCCTATTATAACAGATACAGAAAACGATGATGCAGCATCCAAAGAAACTGATGGGAATTCAGATGGGATAAGCGACACCGCAAAGCTTTTCCTCGTTTCTATCCCAGGATTCATTGGCATTATCATACTCGTGGTGACTGCAATCGTATTTTGCAGGAAAAGAGGGTAATCAACTAAAATACTTCCTTGATAAGGCAATTCAATATTTGTCTTGGTTATACACGTACAGAGATAAGTATATAATTAGCATAAGCCGAACGGATATCTTGCATAGGCGCAATGTATAGTTACTGCGTTGAACCAAACCATATAATCGTTGCTTATAAGATATTTCATATTCAACCCCCAGTGACTTGAGTAGGCAATTCCGAACGAAAAAGCTTTCAGTTCCAATAATTTTAGCTTTCCAATCTAAGTATCGCGGCCTTGCCCAGAGCCTTGTTCGCAGTGAAAGTCTGAAAACGCCTTCAGCTTCTGAATCCACCCAAGGTAACATTTCATGAGCGTTGTATAAGTCAAAGTTAAATATAATTGAAAAAATATGATAAAAAATTTAAGTAATGAATATCATTGCGATAATACGAGGATATATTTTAACAGTGACAAATCTCAAAAATATAAAAATTTTGAAAAAGACAATGTTGGTGAAAATAAGATGGGAAATGCTGAATCTCCAATCCAAGAACCTGACCACGACACTGCTACAGGTACAAACTTAATAAATAGATCGTGATACGGGAACACATCCCAAGTTGACTAAAATCTTATATCTAAAACTTCCTCTTCAATTTTAAAAACGTTTCGCTCTCGAAAGGAAGCGCTGAGTACAAAAAAATGAACATGATGAACTCTTGAGAAAATAATAGTGTACGATCGTTTTAATTGAAAAAAGTTTTTGCCAAGTTGCAAAGTCATATAAACTTGTATAAAAGCAGTATCGATTTAAATTAAAAGCGAAATTATATCAGTATATATTTCAGCCGAAAATAATGAGCCGACAACCTCAACAATTCAAGACGAGGAAACTCCGTATGCAATCATGTATTCTGCTCTTGCTCGGAAAGACAAAGAGGGGGATGCAAATGAATTATTATGGGGTAAACTAAATATTCCGATTACAAAAACATTTGTAGTGAGAAAGATCACAAATGAATGAGCAACGTTCACATATCATGACGTGTCTCAGGGTCTCTACAACTATTCTGCATTGATCCAAGAACACATCAAATCGCATAAAAAATCATTTTATGAAATCAAATGCAATATGTTTTTTTTTTAGATGAAAAGAAAACATCGGCAATTGAAGAAGACGAGCATAAATACGACATGTATTCTGCCGTTGTACGAAAGACTGAAGGAGGTGACAAAGAGACGATTCATGTGTGATCGCCCGATAGTTTTCCTACTTTTTCATACGATGACGGCTTGCTTATGTTTTAGAAGTCTGACTTGCTCTTCACACCCTGATTTTCAAAATATCACCCAAACCCATAGTGAAAGTGAGAAGGAGTACTGGGAATTGTTAGATACGATTGCTTAATTGTTGTTTGTTTTTGGCAGTCGTGACAATTTTGTAATTGGGATTGTTTACCTTGTGATTATTTACTGGGCCAGTCGCATTCAAATAATATATCATGAGCTAATAAGCTGATAATAACACCACTTCTATACATTCTCTGGAACCCTTTGTTTCACCCACAACGTTTTAGATTATTCATCTAACGCTATCTGCGAGCTTACGTCCATTGAAATAAGTCAGTTCATGGTGCTCGGCGCCAGTACCCTTTCGTTTTCGTTAATTTAATGTAATGTATTTTATTAGTATTGGTCTCTTTATTATTAGCAACTATCCATGGATTTAATCGACTCCCTACGCTTGTATCTGTCTCTCTCAACTGTTTCTGGGTTCTTTTAAATTGAATTAACTGAGCAATGCAGATAACGATTCATGAGCATTTTTATTAATTTCTTATCTCTCAACAGCATATTATTGTAACTGTAATCTTATTATTTTACTTTTCTCTGCTTGGACTGGAAAAGTTTCACATTTTAATAATAATATTTGTCTTGCTGCATTCAAACAAGTCTTTTGTTTTTTTGAGCTTTGAAACTGTCAAGCAGGAAAACGTAAGATTTAAATTGACACAGACGTTTTGCATACCTATACACCTATTAGCAACAAATTACGGAATTAAGTAGTGGACCTTTATAGTAGTAGATTTAGCTGCAGCAATTGCATCACGCCAAATACCTTCTTAAAAATTGCCAATGAGGTCGCGTGTTTCTTAGTTTTAAAGTCTCGATTTGTTAGTGTTTAGACCAGGGCTGGGCACGGTTTTTGAACCACGGACAAACATTTTGCCCACCTAGACAGCGCAGAGGTAGAAGAGGAGAACAATAAGCCTCGTGCTAAAACTAAATTTAATCGCAATCTCAACAAATTCCTTGAGCTACCTTTTAGCTGAAACATCAAAATTTGGTTTTACCTTGGTTGTGGCAACACCGGGCGGGTCTGATTGGATTACCAAACAGGCCGGATTTAGCCCGCGGGCCATAGCTTGCCCCTGTCAGGTTTAGACGTTGCTGCATAATATTTTTACACAAACCCACGTGATGCGATGACAAATCGTTATGTTTGGCCCCTAGTTGAGCTAGTGCTATCGTGCAAATTACACCAGTGACTTGTTTTCCTTATCTCTCAAATTTCGCGTGGGAAGTGAATGATGTTTTCAAAACATTAACTGTTTCCATAGCCTGAAGTCTGAGCGGTAGTTGCACGCAAACGTCACAGTTATTTTGCTTAGATACGGTTTGCGTAAGCAAAGCAGTAGTTGAAGATATGAATTAAGAAAAGTTGCAGTATTGCAAGTATGGACATGGCCACTAACATATCACGAGTTGAGCGCCCAATTCGAACTTTAGCAAAATGATATACATGTTTGTAGTTTTCGAGCAAAATTAACATGCAATATAGCAGTTGACAGAAATAATTGAAAAATTACTGAGACACCATTGTTGGGAGTAATCGAGTTATCTATTACTGAATAGTTAATAGGCTTACACAATACAAATGTCGCCATTGAGTGACAATTAGAGATGTGCGATCGGACTATGAGGGTTTCTATATCCGATATCGTTTGGCATGCTACAATATTATGTATCAATTGATTTTAATTGAATATTTTCGATATTATGGTCACTTTGTTATTACTTCTCAACTAAGACGAAATAGATTAGTTTGATAAAACATGGTTTCGTCGTTGATCGCCATCTTGATTTTAGGTAAGTAAAGCAAGTAACAATACTTAACTGTATTTCATATATACCGTATATGCTAACAAACTACGACAGAAATTATTCTCAGATTTCTGATCAAAAATCTCGCATTTCCCATATTTCATCGATAAACCTTATTCCCGCTCAGCTCAAAAGAAAGTTACAAAAAAAAACAATTGCGCGAAATATCAATTTGATCATGTTTTTATTTTCTTGTCATTTGTTTGAAGTGTTAAGTCTATCCCAAACAATCACGAATTAAATCCCAGACAGTTTGATTCGAAGTATTACTTTCCAGCTGGTTCCCACTCGTTTTTTATACTGTCGCATTTCCGTTACTGCCTAAAAATACATAATACAATTTTCTCCTTGTCAATTTCCGTATTCTGTAGGCGCTGTAGCCCGTGGCAATGGTCAATGTGAAGGAGAAGAGATGAACTTAACATCAGAAAACGGCGAAATAAGTTCTCCAAATAATCGCTACGAATACGGAAGAAGCGCAAATTGCTTATGGGAATTCACTCCTGCGGACCGTTACGCCCTTGTGTTAACAATCACGTATCAGAGGCTTTATATTATTGCAAACGGGAACAAACTATGCTTGGGATCTTACAGGCTTATGATAAATAACGGTATGGGGTATGAAAATTGTTTTGCTCTCATTCACCTGATCTTGGACAGTCTATTAATAAGGAGTTCTAAGATATTTAACAAGAAACCTTTTGAATTACAGAATATTATCACAACATGCAATCTTTACCGTAACATCAAGGAGAAGATTGATATCTTAATTTAAAGCGTTCTACGCCAGACGCTCTAGAACAGGGGTCGGCAAACTGCAGCACGCGGGCCAGATACGGTCCGCGAACTTTTTTTTGCGGCCCTCGAACGTCCCCGACTATGAATGCATAATACAAAAATTGATCATAAAATTATAGTTGTCTCCACATGGATTTGCGCGATAACAATTGCGCATTTTTGCAGTTCTCAGTTGTACGTCTTTACTTGATGTTGTTTGTAATTTTAAAATAGGTTTATTTTTAATTTTAAAATATAAAAATGTCCGGGAACGGAGGAAAGTTCGCGTTGAAGGTCGAAAATTCATTGCACTCACAATAAATTTCGTATTAGCTTGTCAGATTGTCATTTGGACGGCGTACTGCGGGGCAACAGGGTTGTCATTTGATTTCAACGCTTTGGCCATGGCACAGAAAAAAACATCAAGTAAATATAAACAATGTATTGTTTGATAATATATACCGGTATTTATATATATTAAAAAGGCAACATAGACATTCCATTGTAACACAACAATAGAAGGTGCGATATGCGGTCCGTGAGTACATGAAGTTTGCCGACCACTGCTCTAAAAAAAACTTGGCCGTTAATCGCCTGGAGAGAAATTGTGTGCAAAATGACTGCGACTATATTGCCCAATCTTGTTTAAATACTATTTAATTCAGATACACAAGAATGTACGAGATACATTGATACCAGATTTCCTACTACATTGATCGAACCTTTTGAATACTTCGACTTTATGTGTGGTGAGGACGCCGGAAATAAGCAAAGCGTTCATGTTCAGTATATATCGGACGGACGAACATATACCGGTTCGGGGACAATGCAAACCTTTGGAATGGGTTTCAGAATCCAGTACAAGTTTTTACAATGTCCCACAGTTACAGGTAAACATGCTAAATATTGTTTATTTATGAATTATATACGTTTAAACAAAGAAAAGTAATAATGCACACTTATGATGATTTCCTTGACCAATACGAGGTGTGGCTAAAAAGAAACGAGACTGACGTCACAGATTGCGCAACACGATTAACCATTGGTAATCAACACTTTTACAGTGTGGTGTAATATGTGTTCTTTGTTCAACAGCTTTTTTGACACAATATCGCAATTATTTTTGCTCTTTAGGAGTCGTAGGTGAATGTGATTAATTGCTTGTTGAAAAAAAAATTGCCGTGCGAGATCTGATTGAGTTTTTTGGCGATAGGGGGTTCAATTGCAGAATGACGATTGGGCAAAGAGTTAACATTAAATTTTGTGTCAAACTTGGAAAAATGCATGTCAACTGGGCAACATTTAATCGTTGAGCTTTCTGCTCCTCAGTCAACAGCCTTGGCACCATTTTGGCACTCACCTTTCACAAGCCAAAAGTGTCAACCAAACTGGTGCGAACCGTTTTTTTTTGTCTTTTCCAACTTCGCAATGACGCGAATTGTTGAGCGACGGTCGCTGCGAATCAACTGCCTTTCACAACTGAACTCACAACTGATACCTTTCGATGTTGGTATCAGTTGTGGAAGTGCAAGGCCTTCCTGACTTCGAATCATCCTCCACATCCTCCCTGCATCCCACAAATCGCTTGTGCCATTCAAAAACTCTTGTTCTGGACATGGAAGAATCTCCATAAACATCACACAATTTCTTCAAAGTCGCAGTCGCCGTTTTTCCAAGTTTGACACAAAATTTAATGTTAATTCATTGCTCAATCGTCATTCTGCAATTGAACCCCCTATCGCCAAAAAACTCAATCAGATCTCGCACGGCAATTTTTTTTTCAACAAGCATTTAATCACATTCACCTATGGCTCCTAAAGAGCAAAAATAATTGCGATATTGTGTCAAAAAAGCTGTTGAACAAAGAACACATATTACACCACACTGTAAAAGTGTTGATTACCAATGGTTAATCGTGTTGCGCAATCTGTGACGTCAGTCTCGTTTCTTTTTAGCCACACCTCGTATAATGGATAGATTCAAATCATCTCAAGATATTTTTTACTGATTTCGGTTCGCTCACAAAAAGTGATAAAAAGTGCTTGATGTCACGTGATAGAAATATTTTTAATTAGGTTTATCCTTTGACTTTCGTGTAAACCATTTACGACTAAGTACAAGATAGGGAAATAAACCAGCATCATTAATTTTCATTGCAACAATCACCTACCCGGATACAACAAATGCTCCAACTACTACAAACCCGGTTTATCCCACAACTGACGCAGCCACCATAGTTGAAACATTACGCATTACTGCAAAGTCGGATCCGGACACTCATACAAACCCTGAGACAACAGCGATCGGAAACGCCCACGAATTAATCACATTGAAAACTAACATAGGTAAATGTTCGAATTTTTTACCTCCGCGAGATGACGTGTTATCTATTACGTGAATGATTTTGAATTGATAAAAATTCTCACAAAGTTATACAACAATATGCATTTTCAACAGGAACATTCAAAACAAACACTGATAGATTTTCAAGCGGAATGGATCAAACAACTCTGATAATCCTCCTCTCCATACCGGAATTTATTCTCGTTTCAATTATGATCGTGGCTGGGATTGTAGTCTACAAGAAGAGGCGGTGAGTAGTATTCATATAATATACTTATATAGAAACATAAATCATCGCAATAAAGCTCATCAAATAATCGGTGATGAATGTATTGTTTTATTGTCGGAGGATCACACATCTTCAATAATTTACCAGCTATGGGAGAAACAATTAAAAAAAATAATCCAGGGAATTTATAATATAACGTTGCTCTTTTGCAATATGAATCCGGGTCTTTTTTAAGTTTTCAATTGGGTTTTCGGCCAGGAATACTCATATCTATCAATGTGACTGGAATTCAAATATTAAATAAAATTTTAGAAGGCATGCTACGTAATATGTGATTGATGTAATTTGTATCTGGGCTCTGTCAATGCTTCAGTCCTATACTTCTAAGAACAAGATCATTATCTACTATTACTTCCATAAATTAATATTGGCTTAGTTAAAATTTGTTTGCTTAGGATAGCCTATCACAATTATTTGCATTCTCTATGTGCGGCATTGTAATTTCAGGCGCATAGTAATCTTCGACTCCCACATTGACGACATGTGTGTCTTATGACAATATCCCAAGGGCTACCAAGACCAAAGGAGCTGATGTAAGAATATATATTTATTATTTTAGATCACAACGCTCAGACCATGCCAACACAGCACAAGGGACTGTAGTGCCACTGTACCTGATGCGACTGAGATGGGAAACATCAGTTCTGCGGGACAGAACGGAACGTCAGGTAATGTGTTGGTAATTTCAAAAATAGCATTGAGATATGAAAGAAAGTTGCACTTTTCGTGTCCAATCGTTTTTACCTCTTTGAGTGTTTTTTTGTTATTTTGGTTTCTCGACTCTCGTTATAGACGCGTTTATCACTCAGGCGTCATTGGAACAAATTTCATTTAAGCAGTTTGTTTTGCGTCCTAGTGTACATGTTTCTGATTTCAGCAATGTCCGGTGTATGTTTTGCATTTTGAAATCATTTAAACCAGCGTAATGACTGATATAATATTTATTTATATTTACGAAAATGTAAGCCACTAAATTAGAACCTAACTGTCTCAATACAGAGGTAATATGATTCATATTATATTCAGGTGCAGATGCATACGAAGAAGTTCAAGCTGCGCCATCTGGTGGATATGAAGAGATACTAGCAGCAACTGATGGATACGAGGAAGTGCAAATCAGGGCAACAACCCAGAAACATGAGGCCGGACATACAGCGACGTATGCAAACGTTGCATAAAAGTCCTGTCAGAATACAAATATTGTGCGACAATAAAGCGAAAGATTTTCCCTTATAAACCGACTTTCTACTACAAAGCCCCTAGGTGTTCCCGAAGTATGTGCATCAAGATAGCGCACAACCTGACTGCATACCCAATAATTTGTTGTCGTCAAATTATTTCCTGTGCGAATTGAACAGAAATGTTTTGTGTTTCATGCCGTTCGGATAATTACTCATAGACACTGAGAAACTTAGTATCACACTCAAATATTTGAATAATTTAGAGTTTTAGACCATAGAAAACTCGCATCGGAATGAAAAACTATCCACATCTTCTTCTTTTTTTTATCCATATACGCATTGGTTTTATATTAGCTAGTTAATTATAAAGTGGTATAGATTATTTTCAATCTTTCAGATATTGCACGGGTATAAGTATGTAGCTGTTATCATCTCGGTAGCCGTTTGTAATTCTCCGAGTAATTGTTTTTTTTTTAATGAATAATGGAAACAATGCATTGCCTAATCTGTACTAAAGGAACTTTGTTGAACTTGAACTACGGAAATGAAAAATACTTCTTTTTCATATTTTACTTATAATTATCCATTATACAATTTTCTCCCGGCCCTACAATATGTCCCACATAGTGGGCCGACTGTACTTTGATTTTTAATTTGTTTTCCATTCAATTTATTATTATGATAGCGTACTGCATTGTGGGAATTCATCGCATATTGTAAAAGCAAGATTCTATTTAATTCTACACAATATTAAATACGGGACTGTCAGCATTCAAGTATAATTCTTCACATTCCAAATCTAGTCCACTATTTTTTCCTCTTAAATTTGACATTTTCCTGAGCATGTCGCTATTTAAATACTATTCCCTTCAAGGCCAGAACCAATGTTAGGCTTCATTTAGAACAGGGTGGTCCAAACCCAGGCCCGCGGGCCACATGTGGCCCGCCGCTTCATTATCGGTGGCCCGCGTCACATTCGGAGAGTAATTAAAAATTTCGTGTTATAAAATTATTCAGAAAAATCTTTTGACATATTGCTACATCATCAAAGTCACTAAATTGTCTAGTGTTGTGACTAGCTCAGGCAACTAGCGAAGTTGAATGATGTGCTTATTAGTCTAAATTATTATCTGGCTTTCTTTTGTTTGTAGTCGGGAATATATGCTAACAACATAGGCATCATAGAAAACTAAAAACCGAATGCGGATTCTATTAGCCTGGGATGGCAATGCCTGATAACTATGTGTTTGCACAATAAAAGTGTTTGTTTTTTATTGCACTGTTTACCAACTCTTGGCACTATTGTGGCCGGCGAGCAATGCAAAAATAATTTTGTGGCCCGCGGAGCCGACAACCTGGACCACCCTGATTTAGAACATTCAAATAAAAAAATAATAAAATGAAGCCAATGATCTTAGAATGAATATCTTGTCTGCCCAAAACTAACTCAATCTCAAGCAAGACAGTCCAAAGCAAATGAGAGTATTTCCCAATCAGTTACCAGCAATACGTTCACTCTTAGCAAGATTATGGCTTTGAACTCTGGTCTGCATGTTAGCATTTTACGTATATGTGTTCAACTAAACCCCATAAACGATTGTTGGTGTTTAAAAGATATGTCGAGTCAGACCGAAAGTCAGTAGGTTTTAAATCTGTTACATTTATTGAGTAACCAAACATAATTTTTTGAAACCAATGAATGTTATCGTGCAACTCTTACTTTTGAGACTTTGTATGTGGAATATATTAATTAATACTTATCGTTTAAACTTGAAGCATGAATCATTTGGCGACTCCGGGGTTCGGGTAACAGACCAGGTGATTGAATACGCATTTCTATTTTTACACGCTTTTCCCTTCTAAAAAGGCCGCGTATGAAGAGTCATTGATATGTAATATACTACATTAAGAGATCGAAAGCTCCAGGGTGGCAAGGGTTTTACGGGGCCGTTGGTCACGGCGTCCTCCCCTACGCTTCGAACGAACCTAAACACATAGCCAGCCTGGTAACCGAACAAGAGGTCGTTGATAGTCATATTAACAGGTTGGATTAGAATTTCCTGTGCTTTCAAAAAATATAAGTGAAATGTTATTTCATTTTAAACATATGAAGTTCCTTGATAAGCTTTTGTTGAGTTACTAAAAGTGTGAGCAAAGGCAGGATTGAGTTGCGTTAATAAAAATTGTTTGCACAATATGACACGAAGCACATGTGCACGGGTTGTGATAGTATATTAAATCTTTACATAACGCCAAAAGTCGAACTCGCTTAAATTTGTATACGCGGTCATCAGTAGAGCTATTGTTATCTTCACACACAAGTATCTTATTGCAAATCTACCAATGACGTCAAACAACAATGCTTAGTGTTTTCTTAAAAACCGTGTGGGAAGCGAACAACGTTTTGACAGAACACAGTCAATATTTAATAGCTTGCACTTTGTCATCGGTTGCCAGTGTAGGAAGCAAATAGTGTTTTGACAACAAAGAATCTGCCACAAAGACTAAGGTTCGTTAGCACTTACGAGTGTCAATGGTGAAAGACACTGAGTTCTCGAAGCAGTAGAAAAATGAGTAGTGAAAGTTACAGAATAGTCAGTATCGACACAGTAGCCTCTTCATAACACGTTGAGGTAATTCGAGCTTGGGTCTGATTTAGGCTTAACTATATTCGTTTTGGAATTGTGAAAATGCCATCGGAACAAGAAACAGCTTCAGATTTTTCAAATTTCGAGTAATTATCAAGAGGATCAAAACGATGAGTTTTCTGAACATTTACATACATACATATTACTGAACATTTATTTTCACCGCAACGCTAAACGTATCTGTTATCGCAGGGGTGTGCGACCTTTAATATAAAAGGGCCAGATACAAATACCTGTGTAAAATCGCGGGCCGCACCATTACTAAGCATTTTTAACAGTATATTTAAAGAAGCTTGCATATTCAAAGTTTTTGTTATTAAAGTTTGATTCTACAAGAGTTCGAGGTTGGAGTCGATTTTTACAACCCAGAGTCGAGCGTCGTACTAAAAAGTCAAATTCCCCTCAACCCCGAGTGGGGTCGAAGTCAGCATTCTTCCATAAATATTTGAATGAACATTTGACTGATCAAAATTGGTCTTGGACGCAAAAATATAATAAAGGGAATTATTTTGTTACGATGCTAATTCATTTCGTGTAGTTTGGACGATTTTTATGTAAAATTTCGCTCTGAATCGAAGTTTTGAATCATTTAGCATTCTAGAATCATTTGGTGTTATAAAATGATCACAAATATATTTTTGGGTGAATTGCAATATTTTTGATGTTTCATCTCTTTTGCTTCTCAACTAGAACGTAAAAGATTAGTTCAGTAAACATGATTTGGTCATTGCTTGTCATCTTGCTTCTAGGTAAGTAAATTTACTACGTAGGCATCAATTACCGGTAATTATTTGTATTCCAAGCAAGTTAATCAACGACCATGCTTCTTATACGATCACGAGGTTTCCATTTCCCCATATTTCATCGATTAAATCCTAGTACTCCGACTCGATGTAGTTTGCTAGATAACTAGTCGGCGTAAATACCAAATGTGTAACGATATGCCTGCTCTAATCGTTTTCAGAGTGCAACTATCCCAACTTGGAACACATCGAATTTTAGTACTTCGAAGTAATATATTTTCAAACCTAAAATGACCACGCGCGTTCCGCCAACATTACAGACATTTTATGATATCTTAAGGCTTAAGCGATTTTACCAGGTCTTTTTCTGCCTCCTAGACGCTGTAGTCGGTAGCAATGGTCAGTGCGATGGAAAGCAGATCAACATAACATCAGGAAAAGGAGTAATAGACTCTCCAAGTCTTAAAAACGAATATGGAAGAACAGCAACTTGCGCATGGAAATTTACTCCTTCGGAAGGTTACGCTCTCGTTTTAACATTCACCTATCAAAGGCTTTATGTAGTCGAAAATTCTCGCAAATTTTGTTTGGGATCGTACAACTTAACTATAAACAACGGTTAGTAGTAGTAATAATATTACAAGACAGTTTATTCCCAGAAACCTCTTGCAATTTACGAAACATGACAAGCCCTATTTATACAACGCAAATTTAGAGGCATATCACCAGGGCCTGGTTTAGACCAGTGATTCCCAAAGTGGGCGATATCGCCCCCCGGTGGGCGAAAACGATTCAGAGGGGTGGGGGGAGGGGGGTGGGCGAAAAAGTCGAAGGGGCGATTCCGTTCTTGTTCGGCGCATCGTACACTTGATTACTGTGCTATGCGTGCTTTCGTAGATTTCAATCGCGTGGGCGATTATCACACGCGAAAGGATTGCTGTACTCGTCTTCGAAGTAAGGTACGGCAGTTTGCGTATCCCATTGGTCGGCAAAATACGGCCGGAGTAAAATAACCTGGCCCGGGACGCTTCACTGAATGGACCTTTCCCCGACCTTTGACCCAGGGAAATTCTTCTTATACTTCACCATTTTGAAATTTTCGGTGCTTATTCTAAGAGTGGTTTCGCGAGTTGTTGCCTGTAAAACGGAGTATCCGTTTCAATCTACCATTCTAATTCACACCATTCTACAATTTGATTTTTGAAAGTACCGGTAAAGAATTTTAGCCTAGTCTATCACAGCTATTTCTATACTAATTTTTGATTACTGTTATTAAACTGAAACTCCTAGGATGACGAAGTGATAATTGACTTATTTAATTTATATTTAAAACAACTAAAACTAACGAATATAATTCAAAAACGCGAAAGTGAGGTAATGTTCACGACCATGCCTGAAAATCTGCCTGAGTGAGGAATGTGTCTGAGCGGATGCGAAAGGGGGCATTGTTACGTTTATTTTTGCATCTTGCTGATTGGCCAATGTCACGAAGTAAACAAGGAGGTCTATGCCCGGGGAAACATTCAAGCGGCGGTTTTGACTAAGAATTATTTTTATTCATAATCTACGCAAGAAATAAACTACATTTTTTTGCGTAACAGAATTTATCGTGAGACACGTTTAGACTAAATTTAATTATATCCTAAAAATTCGCCGACCCCAGAAGCCGTGACCGACTATCGGCTACGGCCCAGGGGTCGGCAAATTTTATGTCGCTCACGGAACAAAATTCAGAGTTGCTAGTCTTTTGCGGGTCGCATATATTTTTTGAAAGTTAAAAACGGAACAGCGCGCAAAAACTGCGACAATTCGTGAACTCAACTCAGTCGTCTTTTTAAAAAAAATATTACAATGACATTTAATGCGACACTGTCTTGTTGCTGCATCACGCTTGATAGCTTTACGACGCCAAGAATGGAACATTTTCTAAATGGACATCACTAATCCCAGTTCTTCGCTTGTTCTTTGTAATGTTCATTTTCGAAAATAATTGTTTGCACAAATATGTACTACCAAACATCGAAGTGAATATTTTCGCATGATTTGTGAAATTTTGATAAAGATTTTCTTTAAGAAGATACATTCTTACAAAAATTAGGCAGTGATGAATCTCTCGAATAGAATATGAATTTTATTTCCTTATTACATTGCAATGTATTCGAATATTGACTGCGCTATCGAACCCCTGCCCTCAGCATCAACTTTTCTTCGTATTTCCACTTGTCTAATTATAATTAAATTGTAGGCTCGTTAAACGAGTAGCTGTTCAATAAAATTTTTAGGATATAATACAATTTAGTCCAAGCGTGTCTCACGATAAAATCTGTTACGTAGAAAAATGTAATTTACTCCTCGAGCGTAGATTATAAATGAAAAATTTTCATCGTCAAAACGGCTGTTTGGATGTTTCCCCGGGCATAGACTTCATTGTTTACTTCGTGACATTGGCCAATCAGCAAGATGCAAAAAAACGTAACAATGCCCCCTTTCGCATCCGCTCAGACACATTCCTCACTCAGACAGATTTTCAGGCGTGGTCGTAACATTACCTCATTTTCGCGTTTTTGAATTATATTCGTTAGTTTTTAGTTGTTCTTCGGAAATTTAAATATAAATCAAATAAGTCAATGATTACTTTGTCTTGCTATGAGTTTCAGTATAAATACAGTAATCAAAAATTAGTGTAGAAATAGCTGTGATAAACTAGGCTAAAATTCTTTATCGGTACTTTAAAAAAACAGATTGTTGAATGGTGTGTATTAGAATGATAGTTTGAAACAAATACACCATTTTACAGGCAACAACTCGCAAACCACTCTTAAAATAAGCACCGAAAATTTTAAATGGTAAAGTATGGGAAGAATTTTCCGCGGTCAAAGGTCGGTGAAAGGTCCATTCAGTGAATCGTCCCGGGCCAGATAATTTTAATCCGGCCGTATTTTTTCGACCACTGGGATACGCAAACTACCGTAGCTTACTGAGAAGATGAGTCCAGAAATCCGTTCGTGTGTGATAATCGCCCACGTGATTCAAGCCTGCGAATGCACACAGAGTACAGAATTTTAAGTGCACGATGCGCCGAACATAAAACAGGTTTCGCGAGATCGCCACCTTCGACTTTTTCCGCCCCCTCTGTATCGTTTTCGCCCACTGAGGGTGATATCGCCCACTTTGGGAATCTCTGGTTTAGACGATGTGAATCCCCAGGCTATTACATTTGTTATGCCCCGCTTCAACAATGAGGTCACAACGCTCTATAAAATCAATTATGACGCCATAATAGATATCTGTAATGTAAAATACGTTATGATGTCATAAGTAAATTTGCGTAAAATACGAAACTTTAGATAGCGGCGCAATATACATACACTAATCACCCAATTAGATTGGATAGTCAGCTGAATTTACAAACACTTTTTAAAAAACGTCGAAGCACATGATAAACCGACGTCATAATCGTGATTTCTAGATGCGCGAGGTGAGGAACCGGTAAAATTTTGTAACAAGCCTCGATATATGAAATGACATCAAATAAACAATAGTTTTAAACATAGTAGCTAGCGTGACGAGGCTTCTTGGCTTCCGTGCCTAATTGTAAATTCGGTCACGTCTATGAGTCAGCCGAGAATTCAAATTTAGTATTGGCAGTGTGATGAAGATTAAGTGCCCAGCTTGCATAAGTCATTGATGTTTTTATTTGATTTGGTCAATCCTTGAAGCGCATAACACAGAGTTGTAGTCGGCTGTTATTTTTTCTATTTATACATATGTTTATTTTATGCCTACCAAATCTAAAACTGATATTATTTCATTAAGATAAGCAGGATTGCAAACGACACATTGATGAAGCATACCCTACAACGTTGATTGAACCTCTTGAATATTTCGACTCTATGTGCGGTGGAGAGACATGGAATAAAACAAGTATTCATGTTCAGTATGTATCGGATGGGCGAACACATGACGGTTCAATCGTCAACCCAGCAATGGGTTTTGCCATTCAATACAAGATTTCACAATGTCCTACGACCTCAGGTGAAATAATTGACATCTAGATATTTTAAGTTATAGTTTTTATTAAAAATATCTCACCAAACGAACTACCACAAGAATGAGAATTTGCTTCAAAGATCTTTCTGAATAAAATCCAGCATTTCATGTTAACAGCATTTTCGGGCAATTGCATTACGAAATATACTCTACCTTGATATAATAATTTTACTAGAAGCAACTACTGATAATGTCTCAACGAGTATTTTTGAAGGAAGCTCTTACACAGAACAAACAACTTCCAAAATTGAGGACAACCGTACTCTTTCTACTAAAGGTAAGTAAGTTTCTCATGAACGTTGGCTGCAATAACAACAATCGAAACTAGACGGGCTGAGGCAACGAAAAAGGACTTCATTTCGAGTTTATTAGGTAAGCCTGTCGATGACATGAAGATAATTAAATATCGCAAAAATCTGAAATCTTGGGAACTCAGGATTTGGCACCCGTTATTTAACAATCTTTTCCCATGTTTTACAATTTAAGACTCAGACAGCAGAAAAATGGGATAAATTTATTACATTCTGGGTCAATTGGCGCATGATATCATAATTTCAAGATTCACCATCAATAATTGTGTTGGTGAATTGTTTTCTTAAGTTTTATTAACAACTGAATCCAATACAATGATGGTGTCGGGTTTCAAAATCAATATATATAAGTTATTTTTATTAATGTTATTCCTTGTCATAACAGATACTGAAAACAATGATGTTGCAACATTCAGAGAAACTGACGCTGACAATTCAGATGGAATAAGTGACACTGCCAAACTTTTCCTCGTTTCTATCCCCGGATTCATTGGCATTATAATACTTGTGGTGACTGCAATCGTATTCTGTATGAAGAGAGGGTAATTAGCACCTACTAATTACTTCCTTGATTGGCCATTAATCATTTATCTTGGTTATACCAGTATAGAAATATCTGGAAAAGGAGCATAAGCTAAACCGAGATGGGATTTTATGAAAGCGTTGTATAAGTCAAAGTTAAAATCGAATATACAGGTTGTCCCAAAAGTTTCGCCCGATTTCATAGCAATACCAATTGCAAATTTGAATAAATTTTGTTGTATGCTAAAATGGGGACTACAAAATCCTACATCTATAACATCCAATTAGATACAGACTGAATATTAACCTTTTTTTTAATTAAAAACAAATAACATTTGATTATAAAGACTTTATAATCGGGCGAAACTTCTGGACACTCTGTATTTATAATAACAAAATATAAACCATGAATGAAAAACATGCTAATACGAGACGATTTACTGACAGAGACAAATCGCAAGATGGCAACAAAGTCAAACAAGAAAATGTTAGTGGTAATCAGGTGGGAAATGTTGAATCTCCAACGCAAGAGCCAGACCAAGACACTACTGCAGGTAAGAACTCATTTAATAGATCGTGAAACGGGATCACATCCCAGGTTGACTAAAATCTTATATCTAAAACTTGCTCTTTAATTTTAAAAACGTTTCACTCTCAAAAGAAAGCACTGATTACAAAAAAAATGAGCTTTAAAAGCCCTGAACATTATGAATTTGTGCGGAAACGATAGTGTACGATTGTTTTAATTGAAAAAAAAAATGTCAAGTTGCAAAGTCATAAAAATTTGCCTAAAAACAGGTACACTTTAAATCAAAGCGAAAGTAAATATCAATATTTATTTCAGCTGAACATAATGAACCGACAACTTCAACAAGTCAAGAGGAAGAAGCTCCTTATACAATCATGTATTCTACTCTTGCACGAAAAGACGAAGAAGATAAAAAGGAAACTATACGAGGTAATCGAATATTTGGATTACAGAAATATTTCTAATAAGAGAAAAAGTGCAAATAAATAAGCAAAATGATTGCTCTTACTGTATTACATACCATGACATATTCTATAATTTTTAAAACCATTTTGATAGGCCAAGATTAGAAATAAATATGCTGAATGGTGTGAACGTATTTCCAGAATTCTTCTTTGAATTGATTGAAAAATAGTGAAATTATGAGGCGAATGATTTCAGAAATCCATTGTAATTTGTTTATTTTAGCTGAAAATAAAACTTCAGCAATTGAAGAAGACGAGCATAAATACGACATGTATTCTGTCGTTGTACGAAAGACTGAAGGAGGCGACAAAAAGACGATTCATGATGATCACACGACAGTTGTCCTATTCTCCTTACGATGACTGACTGTTCATGGTTTAGACATCTGCCTTGCTGTGCAGACCTTCATTTTCAAAATTTATTTCAAACCCATAGTGAAATTGAGACGGATACTGGGAATTAGTAAACACGTTTGCTTAATTGCTGTTTGTCTTTAGCAGTCGTGTTTATTTTGTAATTGCGATTGTTTTCTTTGTAATTAATTACTGGGCCAATCGCATTCAAATCTTATATCCTGAGCTAACGAGGTAATAATATCATAGCTTCGATAGACTCTCTGGAACCCTTGGTTTGACCCCAAATTTTTCTGATTTTTCATCTAACGCCATCTGCGAACTTACGTCCATCGAAGTCAGTTCACGGTGCTCGGCACCATTAGCCCTTTCGTTTTCATTCATTTATTTCAATGTTTTATATTAGTATTGGACTCTTTAATATTAACAATTTTTCAAGACTTTAATCGACTTCTACGTTTCGTATATGTGTCTCTCAACTATTTCCGGTTTCCTTTCAATTGAATTAACTGAACAAGGCAGATAATGATTTATGAATATTTTTATTATTATCTTATCATTCATCAGCATATTATCGAAACTGTAATCTTATTATTTTAACTTTCTCTGCTTGGACTGGAACTTTTCTCACATTTTAATACTAATATTTGTCTTGCTGCAATCGAACAAGTGTTTGTTTTTTTATAGATTCGAAAATTTCCCACAGAGCAGTAAAGTAAGCAGAATATGTTAGCGTAAATTCACATGAAAGTTTTGCATATCTTAACGGTCTTATGAGAAATAAACTGAGTCGTTTATGACGGCGAAATACAGTGACTTCTAAAGATGCACACAATTAAATATAGTCATATATAGTTTCATACCTATTCTAGCCCAAAAATATCCCATTCACCTACCAGCACTATACTTCAAATCCCTACTTAGAGCGATAAGTTTCAGTTCGAGCAAAACGTTGAAACACGAAAGTACGGTGCCCCCAATAATGGACAAATTAAACTAAGATGTACAGTAGAGTACGGTATACCATGTCTTAGATCAGTGGTTCCCAGACTGTGGGTAGCGTGAAGATTTTCCGGGGTAGCCTAATTTCTGTCAAACATGCGCACAGAAGTGACTAGGATTTGCAAGTTAAAGAGTGAAATTTGTGCTGGTGGGCGGGTACTGTAAAAGTGCTTAACTTCGAATTTTTTAGCAATGACTCGACCATTTATTGTCCAAATAGCGCCAAAAATGCGCGGCAAAACTTTCATGTGGTACGACAAGCACCGGTACCAGTAAATGTAATCAAGTGACAGTGTTACGAGCGCTATTACTGTTTTTTTTAAATAAATTTTTGGATCATGATGCATCCGAATGAGTAGTTTACCCTCTGGTACGCAAATAGGATATTTTGCCAGGTTGCGAGAGATTATGTTGATTTGTTATTTTGGGCTCTCCAGAAGTGTGTGAACCAACATGACGCACAACCTGAACATAGTATGTGAACCAGGTTAGGTTTGTCAGGTTGTGCGCCATCTTGGTGCAAATACTTCGGGAGCACCTTATTTTGTACCAGTGTAGCCGCTCGGTTATCAAATACACAAAGAAAAGTTTTTCGTTTGGCGATTGGCCCTTAACTGGGTGTTTGACAAGTATGCTAGTGATTGCCAGACGGTGGCCGAGTAAATACACTTTAGGTTTCAATCAGTTGCGGAAGCGCTGAAATGAAACGTGTCTAAAATATACGATTAGGCTACATGTTTTTGTCCACATCGCCTCCACATAAAAGTGAACATTTTCGTATTGCAATATAACGTATTTAGACGTTTCATACATAATTTCGAAGCGTTCCGAGCCGTCACACAAAAAACCGCAACAAGTTCTAGGATAATAAACGGCACTTGGAATATGTGATTCCGTACACGCTTTTTCCTATTTTACTTTCATGCTCTTTTTTACTTCCGAATTAAAGATTGATATGTTAACATTGAACTAAAAATAATAAAGACACTGTTGGAATATACTGGATAGGATTTCAAATTTATGTATATTTATAAGCAATCTTACTATTTCCAAAGTATCGCATGCTTCCTCACAATCTACCACATTTTATCAAGGCCGTCTGTGTTTCGCTGAAGAACCGATATAGTTCTGATCTAAGATATTTTTACACCGTTGCTTTCATACGATGCGTGTTATAAAATCTTCTGAGGTTTGCCGTTTTTCCGGCGCATTGCCGGATCGTTCATATATTTTTGGGCCAATGTTCATCGTCAACATCCGCTTGTAGCCGATATACACGTACATTGTTTCCATTTTGAAAATTAAACTGATATATATACACATTTTTGAAGTTGCTGAACGTTTCTAGTTGTTGGGTCGCGAGTATCTGTAGGTTTCGATTTAATGAATATTGGGATCGCGAAAAAAAAAGTTTAGGAACCACTGTAGTAGAAAACGTATATGCCTACGATGACACAGAATTTTAATATTTACTGTGACCAAATTAAATTATAATACATAATTCTACCTAGTGCCTAGTGTACAATCGCCGAACGATGGAAAATGCACTGATTCAGAAAAGGGACATTAAAGGAGTTTTGTAATGAAATGAAGTCATTTAGCGAGTGCCACGGCTTGCTGTTTACATCTCGAATTGTGTATAGGCCTCTCAGGTTTAGTTTTCATAAATCTGTATTCTATACAGAGCCCTGTTCAAAACGATTTTGAAGCAGGTTGGACTAATTCATTTATACAAAGCCCCCACCACTAATGCAAATATGTGAGATTCAAAAAAAACACCCCGCCACGTTTTAGTTGTTATCAAATTAGGAAGTCCGATTGGGAATGATTTTAAAGTTTGTATTTCAAGTACAATCTGAATTCCTAGCCCTCACCCTAACTGGATAATTACTAATTTTATTATTTTTAGCGGTGGCGGGGTTTGTCACTTCTATCAGTCGATTTGAACCATATGATAAACAATGACGTAATACTAATAGGTAGTAGAACTGTGCGAGAGTTGCCATGATCATCAAAATCAAAGCCTGGCACTTAGCCCATAATTAAAAAATACTACTCACGATTGTGATAGTCCGTGGATATGGGCCTTCATTCTTCTTTTTCTGTCGTAGATTAATCCCATTACATCAGTTATCGCTAATTGACTCTGCTTAAACTAACTATTCTTCGCATTCGAACGATTCTCTACTCCCTGTTTCTGAACCATGAGTCACTCGTTTGGGGTTGCCAGACAAACACAGAGTATACCTGGCAACTTACGATATATATTTTATGCGTGATATTACGCCCGTTCAACTTAGTGGGGTAATGCGATTACGTATAGTTTCATTTAGCAAAGTGAAATCTTGGAAAAAAATATTTGAAACCACAATAAATGTGAATTTTGGGCAAATACGACCCGGTAAACACGTTAAAACTGGTAACTAACGACTGTCAAAAGATATGCATTATGACGCAACTTAAATGCCGAATTTTCCTTGTGACATCTTAATTTCGGGCATACTCTACCGATATCTGCGAGTTTATCCGAGTCTTTGCTTCTGCCTCTTGTGCATAAAATACCATAATTACTATCTTACATCAGATACTATAAAAGCCGAATTGACCAGGAGGCTAGTCCGCACATCGGGTCAATCTATGTCCTGGATAGTGCTAACGCATCCGACGGCACGAGTCCATCAAGATTGAGAACACATTATCCTAACACACACACTCAAGCGCATGTTGTGAGTTGTGTGATCAACGTATGCTACTTATTACTTATCGATCTTAAGATCGGTAAGTATATTGATAGGTATTTGTCTGTATGTCTGTCTGTCTGTGTGTCTGTGTGTGTGTCTGTTAGATGCACGCGATATCTCACGAAAGCGAGATTGAATCTGCTCCAGATTTTGCATGTGCATTCATCTTATCTCGGACCAGAAGCCTATTGATTTTGGGCGAATTATGTCGTATAATTAGCGAGTTATCAATCAGTTATTGATATAGTGATCTAGATTTTTGTAAAGCGAGAGAATTTTGAAACCCGCCGAGTGTGTGTGTGAGATGCGCAGTGCGCAAGTTACAAGAGCGGATAAATCGAAACTGCAGTTTCTGTTTTGGGGGATCCCCTAACTATCGATCGATAAGTCTTCGGTTTCCAACCGATATTCTCGTTATAATATTCGGCAAATACGCTAAAGCGTGAATGTTATCTCCCTGTCGCTACTATTATGATTTGCTTCATTTATCCTATTCTTTCCTAACACCATTTCCCTACAAAATAATAATTGTCACTGGTATTAACATAGAAAGGTGGGCTTACCATTAATGGTAACATTTTAAAACTTCTGTAACTTTTACTATGACTAGATACCAGCCTAAAGACCACTTATTTATTTGCGATATTTTCGAACGCAAATTTGAAATTTAGTTTTGAATCTTTCAGCGCACGGCGACAGAACTAATCATATACAAAATATTTCACCCCGCGTATGTTGTGCGTGATGTAATCAACGCATGCTAATTATTACTTATCGATGTTAATCGGTAAGTATGTTGATAGGTATTTGTCTGTCTGTTAGATGCACGCGATATCTCACGAAAGCGAGATTGAATCTGCTCCAGATTTTGCATGTGCATTCATCCTATCTCGGACCAGGAGCCTATTGATTTCGAGCGAATTATGTCGTTTAATTAGCGAGTAATTAATTAGTTAGTGATGGGACACAAGGTGTCACTATGGAGTAAGGGAGCTGGAGCCTAACTTTCGATCGATAAGTCTTCGGTTTCTGACCGATATTCTCGTTATGATATTACACAACAAATTCGCTCAAGCACAAACGGAAACCGGGCAGCATCGCCTTACCAACATGTCATCAATTCCCCTTTCTTTATCCTATTTTTTTAGGATATTTCGGTTTTTAGACTATGACTTGATATTAGTGGAAGGTTTTACTTCTTTGTGATATTTTCCAAGAAAAAATTGAAATTTTACCTTGACTTATGATTGCCTACTGCAAAACGTAGCGAAAGAACTCATCATATACAAAATATTTCGCTGTTTATTTAACACAATAAAATTATAATAGTCGGCCGCAACTACAAGTAAAAATACAAAAAGAGCAAAAAAGTATATGTACAATAATTCATGGAAGGAGAATAATATTTATTTTATCCAAAAGTACGATTAATCATGACGTCAATACTTGATGACGTCATAACACCTGTGCTAATAAGCATTCCAAAAATTCATTATCCGGAAAAGTTGCATTTTTTGGAAAACTTGCCCAAATTTAGCAAAAGCGTTGTTAGATACAAACATAAAAAATATACGACACAAGGAGGGGTAATCCCCCAAAAGCAACTTAATAATAGTACAGTACATATATTTAGGCACAGTATAAACTAAGTAACAACAAATAATAGAAAAAGTATATTTTGGCTGCAAAATTCATGGTTTAATAGTAGTGAAGACGTTGTTTTGTGCTTTTGACAAAATTTTGATATAAGAACCGATTGAATGCCTTTTTTTTATTTTTCATACGGTGGGGGGAGGGGGTGTCCAAAAAAACTTAAATAGAGTATTTGCAATCACAATTGACATTTTCATATTTGCTCAGAAAAGGTTATTACTTTTAATATTACCAAAAAATAATTTTATAAAACGTCCAATAAAAGTAGGTTTTTATATTATTTTGAAATATTAGGATGAACGGGTGCAAAAGGGTAATCCACAGAAATTGAATTTTGAAATGATCATATTTTTGCCTAAAATCGTTCCTCAATATTCTAAATATTATTAAAATAACTAAATTCATTGGAAGAAAATAATTAGTTGATCTAGAAAACGTTATTTTCATGTATCAAAAATTGTAACAAAATTATAGTAAACCTGAAGACGTTTTTGTGTGCAAAACTTAACAAAAAAGTCACATTTCTAGTAAAAAATGCTTGAACCAAAAATTTCATATGGCGTAAGCGACAAAATAGGAACATTCTGGAATCACCATAAACGGTAGAATATATGTTTTAAATTAATAACTACTCTATACTATCTACCCCGAAGTGCAAAGTGTGGTACTTGTATCAGATGAGTGAATAATTTGGAGGTATTTCAGATAACTTTCTTATAATTGTAGTGAGGGAAGCTGTGGGGTGTCACATCACATGGCCCATTTTGTTGAATGAAAAGTTTGGTTTTTTTAATTTTATTTTCGAAAAGAATCCAAACATACATATATACCACCCGTGAAAAGAGACAGCTAAATCATAAGATATTTTAAGAAGTGTATGTTTAGATCTCGCATTAATAATGGAAGTTTGAAAAATATCTAAAATTGTTGCAAAGCAAAAGATGGAATATTCCCAGGAAAAGTACTATACACATCCATACTCAAACCATAGTGTGCTTTTATCAGAGTCATTGGAAGTTTCTTCTTGCTTAGGTTTAGTTGGAGTCGGGGGTCTCCTAGCTCCAGTGGGAGTGGAAAGAGGTGAGGGTTCAGGGTTTTTTGAGGGCCTTCTGAGGGAATTAGTATCTGGGGGTACGTCACGACGAATGGGGCTCGGGACGACATCTGGTGGCACATCTCTTCGTTTGGGGTTTCCTGGGGAGCCTTGAAGAGGGTTAACCAATGCGATGTCAACTTGACGTGAGGAGGTTGGAGTGGATGTTAGAGCGCCACCATGTGGTCTACTACGTCGTGGTCGTGGAAGTGACATACTGGTATAATTCGCATGTTGAGATGGTCGATTCCCAGAAGTAGGGGTTTGGGCCCTTCTAGGAGACACGGAGACCCCATTTGACTGGTTTGTATTATTGTGTGAGGTGGGGGTAGAACTGCCCCGTGGGCTCGATACTAAACTGTCCAAACGTTCAATCACTGACCCTGAACGATTCGCAGTTACTGGAGAGTCTCGACTTGACCTCATTGACGCAGTATGTGGGGTCAAATGTGAATATGGGGTCACGCTTCCAGTAGGTTTCTCAATCATGCTGGTTGGTCGCGCTTGCGGATTTGTACGGGGTCGTAAGGTCACGTTTGATCTGTATGTTCCTTGGTCATGGTTGGGCGAGATTCCTTGCTGCTTGTAAAATAATATAAACATGTTAACGATCTTAAATATTGAACTTCATATCTGTATTAGTAGTACTTCAACTGATCTAATTCAAAACTATCACAGAGAAAAAAAAATTCAATAATGCTGACTCAGCATATTAAAAACAATTATGTTATCATAATAAACTGCTAAATTTAAATTTAGACAAATACTTTTTGCTAATATTTTTATATTAAATACTAAAACCTCTAAAATTAGTAATTGAAATTGAAACCTTTAAATAAATAAACTACATTAAGTAACTTTAAGTTGAAATAGAACAAAAATCATGGAATGATATATATTGGGTGAAGCACTCACAAACAAAGACATGCCACGAAGGTGGTTAAAAATCACAATATAGGCATTGGTTAGAAATATTTGCATTTGATTAGCTGTATTAAATAGGTATGAGTAGCAAATCCAAATTATGCTGATGTAAAGAGCAGCATTAGCCATACTGTTACTATGAAATATTTAAATCGAAATTATGCTGATGTCAGCATTTTTTTGAATAGCAGGTATTAGAGCCATTTATCTATTAGAATGGAATTGCCAGTAGCTGATTACCATTTAAAATACTAATGTTATTAGATTTCTTGTTTGTTTGGTTGAAAAACAATTTAAAAAGTGTTTTTACAACTTAATTACCGTAATCAAAATTGCAAGAGTTGCATAAAAATGAGTAATAAAAGCAAGGAAACAAACTATCAAATCAAATTGGGTATTACAGAGTTAATTTATTATAGCATTAGTACAGAAGCAACAGAACAAGGGTAGAACTTTTGACCTTGGATAGAATTTTTGACCTTGGACAGAATTTTTAACCTTGGACAGAATTTTTAACCTTGGACAGAATTTTTAACCTTGGGTAGAATTTTTTACCTTGGGTAGAATTTTTACCTTGGACTGAATTTTTGACCTTGGACTGAATTTTTGACCTTAGACAGAATTTTTGACCTTGCACAGAATATTTGACTTTGGACAGAATATTCGACCTTGGACAGAATTTTTGATCTTGGATAGAATTTTTGACCTTGGATAGAATTTTTGACCTTGGAAAATGTCCAAAACCTCTTTCGTTGTTCTCCATTCACCCTAAAGCTGGGAACTTGACATATTTATCCTGATATTAGAGTTGTTTTCATACTTCACAGAAAAAAGCTTTTAAAATTATTATCAATGCTCAAGCCTAACTCAACCCATAGTCATAGCAATACAAGTGAGCAAATGACTCTCGAAATATTTCAAACATCACAATAAAAACATGCACAAATGTATGTTTAGTATTCCACATGCCATGCATCAACTTAAATAAACAACAAAGAACAATCATAAATTGACCAGGGATGTCCATGATCTAATATTTCTTCTGATGCTGAAAATCCAAATTGTTATTTTTGAACGAAAGCTGCATGACGCAAATTTGGACAAGTTCTAGAGATTAAATACCTTACTCATTCACAAAATTTATATATGGAGCATGAGAGTGTGCAGACCATCGAAGATTACAGAAGGTTGGAACATTTGGAAATAATTAGAGAGGTGGGTAAAAGTCTCAAAGCAACTAAACACTTTCATTTTTCTGACACAGTTAGGTATGGACACCCCTGTTACAGACTGTAAATAAAACATTTTGAAGGAAAAATCATGATTTGTGATTGGTGTAATATAGAAAAAACAAACAGTTCAGAAACTTAGAAGCAGATAATGAGATATGTTTTTGTTTATCAATAACATAATTTGCTTCCAATTTCTGAACTGGCAAAGAACACAATGGTAGTATGTTATGATGTTAATATTCCACACAGAACACAAATAAAACTTAAAAAACAACATTACGCGACTGTTGGTTGCTGATATGGATTGTACCTGAAGAAGGATAGAGACAGAGAGAGCAAGCGTGTGTGTGTGTGTGGGATTTTGTATGTGTTGTGTGAATGTGTGTGAAAAGGTAATTCATGGTTTTGTGTCTATGTGTTCGAGCTTTCTATGCGGAGTATTTTGATATGTACTGCACAACAATTGACTATTTGCAGATGAATGTGGTGTATTAAAGTGTGATTTTGTGTGCTGTGGCCTGTGGGTTACATCTGTATACAAATTATGTTAATGTGTGTGATATATCGATATGTAACTTTGTGTGTGTTGGTGATATTGATGCGCCGTTTTAAAATTTCTTGGAATCAATTGTATGTGTTTATTTGGTCGAGGATTTCTTAAATTGATGAGCCATTAGAAACATATATAATTTGTAAAGGCGTGAATGTTTTCTCTTTGGTATCTCTATCCCAGTTTTATATGCACAGTTGCACAAAGTTAAGCTGATTGGGATTCAAACTCAGGAATTTAGGGAGTTTAATCAACATTTTCAAGTCAATACCACAAACAAACCTCTATTAAGTCAGGTTTCTTAACTACCGGTTCAATGTCAAAGGTTTCATGAAGGAATTGCTCCAATGATATCACTTCACTTCCCGGAGAATGGGGGCGGGGACTATTGTTGTGAATCACAGAGGGGCGTGTGTCTTCTACTATTGTATCAGAAGACTGTTGAAAGGAATTAAAATTTTGGTATTTTTTCAAGTAAGTGGTTGAAATTTAAAGAAAAAAATAGGGGAGTGAGAGTAATGACCAACAAATTTTAATAAAAAATGTGGTGTGGTTATTTTTCCATTATTAGGATATTTTTGTTTATATTATATGATTAAAAATGTTGAAAATAAGAGTGATGGCCGTATGTGTATGTGTAAAATGTATGTGAAATTGTGTGTATAATAAATAAGAAATTACAATTATTTTTGTATGTTATTACATTGAAAATGTATTTTGTTATATAAATAAAACCGTTAAACACATATGTTTATGGTAAATGTGTGTGTGAATTTGTATGTGTATGTGAAATTAGAGACATCCATGAAATGTAATTTAATATTTTAAAAAATATCAAATTTTGATGATAACAATGTATTTTTGTGACAAAGGAGGAAAGAGAGAGAGAGAGAGAAAAACAAAAAAACATTGGTTAATTCGATATTTTTCTTTCAAAGAAAAAGATCTGTTTGAAACACACCGGTGTTGTTGTTTAGTTGAACTAATTCCTTCCTGCAAAGCTATTTTCTGTAATTGTGTGTTAATAATAAAATAAAAGACAACAATTGTTAGGTAATAAAAGTTATAAAATAATAATAACATATAAACACAAATTGTAAATTGCATAAATATTAAGCTGCAAAATAAAATGTTAGGTAAGTGGCTACGTCTGTTTAACAAAAAATATTAGTTTTCATTAATTATCAGCTTAAAATTGTTCCTTTTTGGTGTTTATGCAACGTTACATGACTCATTCTTTTAGTGAGATGTCCATTTTACATGCTTATTATAATTTTGGCCAGTGGTTCTCAACCTTTTTTTTCAAACAACCCAAATTTTCAAAAAATAAATTTGGTAAAATCTTGTGACCCAAGGATATGCTCAAATATTAAACGACATGTAGTGTTTTGAGCCGCAACATTAATTACCTACTAATAAAAAAACAATCATTTTTGCATAACATTCATTTTTCTAGAAATACTTCAAAGTGAGAAAACTGCGCTTGTTTGCCATCAGCAAGCTTTTGAAATTGTGGCGTGGCTTCACTAAGCAAAATCGATGTTTCCAAGTTTTCCAAGTTCCGACACAACAAGATTTCTAGGTGACCCAGTTTTGGGTCGCGGCCCATAGGTTGGGAAACACTGACTTATGCTATTTATCAAGTTTCTGTAGGACTTTATCCTTCCATGCTTTTGTGCTGGGGGATCGGTAGAATGATCCATATGATGCAAGGTTGTTTGACTGAGGGACTCTAACTTTGGTTAGACGAAACATTACAGAAATAGATTTGTGTTGCATCAAGACTTCTTGAATCACTTGGATTACTGCAGTAGTTTAACTTACCCTTCTTCTATTTTTGTCAGCGGATCATGATGCATATAATGCAGGGATGCTGTAGCAAGAGTAGAGATAACAATCCTAATTGATTCAAGAGTCTTGCTGAACACTAACACAAATATATTTCTGTGATCTTGTTTTCTATACTTTCCGTCTCTTGTTAATCTAACCGATATAAATATATAACTAAGGCTTATGTTAATGGCATTTAAACCAAAAAACTAAAGATTTTTGGTTTTTCAGTGAATGTTAGCATGAAAGTTTATATCTCTAATTGTTAAAAACTCTATGTCAAAAATTACTAAATAGTTAACAAAATCGTTTTGGGAACTTTTGGATGAAAAACGATGGCACGAAATTTCAAAATTTAAACGTATGCTACTAATTAGAGCTCAATTAGGTTCTCAATCAGTGGGGGGGGGGGGGGGGGGGGGGGGGGGGGGGGGGGGCACAAGACAATATTTTGCTAAATTTGATCGTCCCCTCTTATTTTGGATGTTTACATTTTTCTTTTTTTGAAAATTTACGTTCCATCCACATACTTTTTTGAATAAAACATACTTTCTCCTTATTACCTGTTATTTGTAGCTTATTGTTAGCTAGTTATTTTTGAGATGGGGCAAGAGACTTGAAAAATTCTGTAATGAGAGCGCGACTTATAAAGTTTGAAAACCACTGTATTAGATGAATGTGAAATGAAATCTTGTCATTATCCCACCATTACCTGGGTCGGGCTAGATTGGGGTATTGCCCCACCTATCTCCGTTTATCTTAGCCTAGTGGTTCTTAAACTGGGGTTCGCTGGGAAATATCAGGGTGTCCTCAACAGCCTACAGTTTCTGTGTTCTTGGCGCTATCGTGTCAGATGATTCTTAATATTTCACTTTACTTATCGGACACGAATTGGATCTATGGATTGTTTGTTTTTTCTTCTCATTGCGAAAAAACTTGAGAAAGAAGTTTGAGAACCACTGTCTTAGGCTTTTATCTTCAAAATGAAAAATCTACAAAATATTCAGTAACTTTGTTTGTTTTAAAATCCTACAGAAGTCGCAATTACGGTAAACTATATTGAAAGCTAATTAATTCTCTACATTTGGACAATTAATGGCTTCTAACACAGTTGGACACAACATGGCGACACACAACACAATTCGGACCTGTTGCTTAACTTGCACTTTTCCGGAATCAGTCGGAGATCGAACGACAAAAATCAAAGTTTCTTTTTCTTGGGGGGTAAGGGTGGGGTTTTCTTCAACTTTACCAGGAGTCCTAGAAGTGGGGCTGCCAGTGTTACCCCCACTTTTGCGACCAGATTCGGGGGGAGTAATTTGAAGCGAACTTAAATCTAAGCGAGGGGGTTTCCGTTTAGTTGGGGAAGCGGGTGGGTTAGACGGGGAATCCCCTCCTTCTGGTCGGTTGGATTTTAAAGGGGTTGATCGAGACAGTGTAGACTTGTACTCCGTGTAACTAGGGGACCTTTTGGGTGATTTTTGCTCCATTGAAGTCATGGGAAGGGTAATAGGGGGCTTTGTGACAGGAGGGGTCGTAGGTAGTTTTGGAGCCCTTTTATCACCGGCCTGTATGATAAAAATTTATGCGAATAACAGCTCAAAATGAATGAGACGTTACAGAAATACTCTGAGAAAAAAATTGTAAATTTGAAAAAACTGATGGTAATTCTAGGAACAATACATAATATGCAAAAAGCGTCGTCTATAGAATTAAAAAAATATTTGTAATTGCAATAACACTAATAAATTCGAACATATAAACAAAGTCCTTTGAATGACTCCCAAAACATCGTTGGAAACAACGAGCAGATACATAGTTAAACACCGATAACACCCATGCAACAAGGCATACAACATTCAGAACAAGTTGTATTTGCGTACATATGCAACCAGTGGTACTGTTTTTTTTTCAATTATTCTTGCTGGTATTTCAACCAATTCTTTATACCACTAGTATTGGGATTTCATGGATTTTTTTCTTGTGGGACCTTGCAGTTTTGCTTAGATTGTATTCAGGATACATATGCAACCAATGGAGGTAGAATCATTTAAAATAGTTTATGCTGGTATTTCAACCAATTGTATATACTAGCAGATACCATGGATTTTTCTCTAGTCTGCGCTTACAGTTTTGCTTAGATTGTATTCAGGGGGCATATGCGGAGGCATTTTTTTTCTCAAATGATCGTATTCTGTTTGTATTTCTGCCAATTCTATATGCTACGAATATATAGGGTTTTCATGGACTTTTTTCGGTGGGTGCTTACACTTTTGCTTAGATTGTTTGTATTCATGGTACCTATGCAACCAATGGAGATAGTTTCTTTAAAATAGTTCATGCCTGCCAAACCAGTGGGCTACAAAGATTTCCAAAAGTTACATACAGTTTTTGATTACATCAGCTAATTCTGGAATTACCATTATATAACAATTATGAAACACTGTAAAAATTAAAATTATGCGTTGTGGAACGTTATTAATTTCAGTACGTTGCTACATGTTCAGTATGTTACATGTAACTTCAACTAGATCTAAAGCTCGGGACAGCATGAAAACGGGCCCCCCTAATGCTATGTTGCGTGTAAGCTTGCCTATCAAGACTAAATTTAATCTGATAATATGGAAAATCAAGTTTCACAATAATAGTAAATTGGACGGGGATAAATTGTTTTTTTACTCCCTCTTTTTAGTAATTTACCCTATAGTAACATCTCATTGTGGCTCAGTTTTTCACTGTTTTTGCATGGCTTTTGGTGGTTTTTGACGATTTTTCAAAACTTGTTCACAAACAAATGTGTTACCAGTAGAAGTGTCACATTACAGATCATTTTATTAAGATATTATTTTATTGTCACACTTGATTCATTTTCCACCCTGAAACTATAAAGACTTCCATAATACTTAGATCACCCAAAATTTGTTTCAAATCTTTTGCGATTATGATTTCACAATCTTTCGTTAGTGACACAATAATCATCACCAATAATAAGCATTATTGTGTTACAATCAATTTTTCATTTTTTTTGTTATTCCTCCCCAAAACTTTTCTTACCGTAATTAAATCAACATTTCACGATAACCACGACTTTTATGTGACTTCTGGTCAAGAAAATGTGAAATTAATGTGAAACTGTATGTGTAAAAATCGGGCCCAGTAGACTCCTCGAGCAGTTATCTGGTGGCCACAACCAAAGACCTTTGGAATGGTTATTGGGGTGTGTTGTGAAATAATCTTAGCCTAATATATGCAATCAAAGACAAACTTTTACTAAAAGCCAAAGACTATCAGAGGAAATATTAACACCATGTACTATATCAGTAAATGTTTCAGGATAGGAACATGATCTACGCACCAAACGCCACCAAGTGGTCATAATGTAAAAACTGGTTCCCAAAGTACTCAACATTAAAATAATATATACCTATATTAAATATTTTTGGCAGAAAAGCGAAACAAAACCTTTTTAAAATGACCCCTGTAGTATCATAAATAATTCCAATAATATTCTCAATTTTCTAAAAATAAATCTGGACCTATTCCAGCTATCCCCACTAGTATTAAAAAAACTTGTAAATTTGAATGGGCCCCAGAAACAAAATACGGTGCTCCCGAAGTATGCGAACCAAGATGGCGGACATCGGAATGTAATATGTGTACTAGGTTAGGGTTAGGCCATAATTTTAGGCATAAATACTACGGGAGGCTCTTGGCTAGTCTTCGAACTGATAATAGGACTAAAAGAAGGAAAATTGGAAAAAAATTATCGCCTAAACCTAACCTGTTACCCATGTTACGTTCCGATGTCCGCCATCTTGGTTCGCATACTTCGGGAGCACCCAAAATACTTCTATTAGTGAGCGTGAGTACTCATATATTAGACGGGGGATAACTGGAAGAAGGCCCAAAAATTTTTCAATAAAGTATACAAGTCTCAAAAATGCTATAAAACAATTTAAAATCGACCCTGAAGTATCACAAATAAACAATAAAGCTAAAATTTTAGAATAAAACATGACATACCGCGTTCTTTGTTTTAGTCTCGTCAAGGAATTGCTGCAGAGATATTTTATCTGCAGTTGGGGTTTTGGGAGCGTTAGGATGATGCTCCTCGCTACTGGCACTGCTGTTTCGACCTGGATTAAAGAAATTAGCAAATATGTTATCAAAAAAAATGATTGGAAATGCAACAGCAAGAAAACAGAAGAATGTTATTACTTATCGATTTTAATCGGTAAGTATGTTGATAGGTATTTGTCTGTCTGTCTGTTAGATGCTATCTCATGAAAGCGAGATTGAATCTGCTCCAGATTTTGCATGTGCATTCATCATATCTCAGACCAGAAGCCTATCGATTTTGGGCGAATTATGTCGTATAATTAGAGAGTTATTAATTAATTAATGATGGGACACAAGGTATCACTATGGAGTAAGAGCGCTGTTTTGGGGAATCCCCTAACTTTCGATCGATAAGTCTTCGGTTCCTGACTCTCTCGTTACATAGTTAAACAGTCCAAATTAAGAAATCGGGCGTTCGGCTGAAATGGAAAGAGCGATCTTATAGGCTTTCCTATACTCCAGGAAAATTGTGAAACTGCTCTCCTAGCAAGATACAAGATACTGCATAATGCCAATGTGTCCCATATCATCCATGGCCCTTCTGCTAAGTAATATATACGGTATATCTTCGCATAGAAGCCGACCCCCCCAAACGATAAATTTAAAAAATTTCGCATACATGATTTTAGCTTTCTATTCAATTAAAGAGTCCAGCTGCACACTAACACAAATGTATTTCTGTAACGTTTCGTCCGACCAGAGTCAGACTTCCTCAGACAAGCAGTTTACAAAAATTCTATTGGAATGAATGATGAATGGTGAATAGTCATGTTTATTCCAGCTACAGTATCCTTGCAGTATACGCATACGGATCCACTAGCATAAAGGCATAGAGAAAAGATAGGAAGTTAGTCTCGCGCAACCAAACTCAAATTTGTGATTTTAGCTGTTGGAATTAAGTCAGCATAATGTCATTTTGTTTCAGTACGATCAGAGTTATAAACCAAATTTTTAGTGTGACCAGAGTTATGTGAGTATAAGCCGACACTTTAGTTTGGCAACTTTTTTTAAAGTATTAAACTCGTCTTATATGCAAAGATATACGATAAGATATTCATCATACCTTTCTGCAAAGATCCACTTAGACTTGATGCACTGTCTTGCTGTGAGATTGTTTTCTTTAATTGCTGTGATGAAGCTGTTTATGACAGAATAATTATTAGAATATGGTCGAAAATTTTACCAAGAAAGTGTTCATATAGCTTTTGTACGGTGTCCACAAAATCCCTCTACAATTTTAATTTTGTTATGCTTTTTTAAGTCAGTTCTCAATATATTTCAACCGGGTTCGTGGTTTTTTTAATCAGGAATAGTTCATGTATTTTTACCTCATTTAATGAAACATCTGTGAGGACCAAAATAATATATACTATCGATAAATTTCCTTTGCAATTTTAAAAAATATTATGATTTAATGGGCAACCTATATTAAAACATTCTTATAGAGTTTAAACACAAGAAAGCATTTGTATGAAAGATCCCCAAAACCTGCCTTATTTTAGCCTAATAAAAATTTGGCTCAAAACCAATATTTTTGATTTAGGCCATTCTACTCCACTTTTATCAACGCTATGTTTTGGGAGCAATTTAGAATATTTAGTCATTTCCTAAAGGTTTTTAGAAAAATAAAATTTCCATTATGACCTGGATAAGCAGAATCATAACATGTTTTTTAAATGTTGCTGTCTCTAATGAACCTCATTCAATTCTAAATGATAAATTCTTAGTTATGGAACATTTCAATATTTTTTAATGAATCTTAATCAGGTTGAGAAAACAAAATAACACACAGCAACAAACACATATTTGTAATATCGTTGTTCAACTCAACTCTAAGAATAATTTACACAAAAACACAGCACACAGTGTGTGATATGAAGAATTATGGATGCAAAAATATAAAAAACAACACGGCAAAATCTTTATGAAAATCAAATTTTGATAGAAATACGAATATTGCTTTAAGCTTTGACTAGAAAAGCAGTTTAAAAAGCATCTGTTATATTGTAATAATGAAATTTCAAGTTTAAACCCTTTATCTTGAATTGTTATCAAAGGATATGCGCTGTAGGGCTATACAATCCACATTTTTTATTTCTGAATTTAAAAGTTATTCAAATGAATTCTGTGAGATTTCGTATACTTTACTGATCATTGTGATTAGCATTCAGAAGGTCAAAACAAAAAGGCCTTCTTAAAATGGCAGCTGCTCGCGGATCGGTGGTTGATTGTTCAGAACAAGATGTGTAAACATCACATAAAATTGTAAATTCAAAGTTTGAAGGTTCCAATTTGCCATACGAGCATAAGTAAAACTTTTGATGTAGGCCTATATGCGAATACAGGCACAGTGTAAATTCAATCTTCATTAATATAAGCGAAGCGAGCATTTCAAATTCCAAGTTTCAATCAAGCATAAGTAGCCAGTAATGTTAAAACCATGAGCTGGGCTGAATAATTCAACAAAGCATAATCAAAACTTTTTATGCATATTCGTACACATGCACAATGTAAATTCAAACTTGATTGATATTAGCGAAGCGCGCATTCATGGATATCCTATTCCAAATTTGCTTAAAACAAAATCTGTGACGCCTTACACAGCATGCATTTACTGCTCAATGTGGATTACAACATGTTAACATACCACAAGCCAGGCACGGCACCCGGCACAAAGTATTCGATACGTCTCCATTTTGGAAACCGTTTGGTAACATATTGTAGTCCATTCCTAGAATTTTTGTAAAAAGGCTAAATTTACTACAGCAGGGGAAGGCAAGGCTATTAATTTTCGAAGTGGGCAGACAGATAATAGACATAGTTACTGGGCCGGAGGCTAAATATGAAAAACTATAAATAAAAGAAGATTTATTTACAACAGCTAGTCCACCAAATGGGCTAATGTTTAAAAAAAAATTAAGAAGTATAATTTAACAATAGGGACGCTATTTTCAACGCTAATTTATATTCATACAAGCTATAGTCACAATTTCAGCAAATACAAGTGGGCTGGAGGATGAAACACTTCGGCGGGCTGGTAATTTTCTCATCCCTGTACTACAGTATAACCAGGAATTCGAATTAAATCTTTATCACAGCTTCTGCTATATAGATTAGATAGCAGTGTGAATAATTGTGGTCAGCATATAATTAGCCCATACAGGCCAACAATGAAATTTACTGTTAAGTGTCCCATAAACTCTCAATCCGAGCACAATATTCAAATTTGTAGAATGACTAGAAAGTATGTTCAAACACAAACCATATGTTTAAATGAATCCTAATAACTATGTCCCTATTTTTGCTATATATAGAATGGCAGCAAGAATTTTAATTAGACAATTAAATAGGGAATCATAAACCGTGCATCAAATGCTTGAAATTTTAATTAAAGTGCGGATTCTTGCCTTCGCTTCCCATTGAGTCGACTGATTCGTGATCCAAAGACGATTGTGATGCCATAATTCCTCCTCTCATGTCTTCAATTGATTGGTAATCTGTTCATGCGTTGAATAATCATCATTGTTTCATAACAATTCATTCAACAATTCAGATGACGATGACATAATCATGCCGTGCAGACAATTGCGCGAGAATGGAGGTGATTGCGCAAGAATGCAGTGTGATTGCACAATAATACAAGATGATTGTGAATTACAGTTATTCATGCAAGAGATGAAATTACAAGACAATGGTTCAATGAGATTGTGATGTCACAATACAACAAGCAAAAAGTTGTCATCCACATAGTCATTAGAGAGAAACAGAATAAAAGACATGACTTTTAAAGATGACACCAGATATGCCAGGAAATTTCGAAATTTGGGTAGGAAAGATAGGGATTGTGTTGCGCCCTTTACAGTGCCAAATGTGCATGTAAACGTGAGCTGTGCTGGAGAATGTTGAGCTACATAATTATAGATAAGTCAGTCCAAAAGTCAAGAAAAACTGACAATTATTCAGTATTACATGCAAAGATAAAGATTACGATATATACATATACCGGATTGCGTAAAAATTTCACAAATATCTATTAGTATCACAAACTAATATGATTAGGTTCCTTATTAGACAAGTAATTCGCATTGTGCGAAGTAGAGGTAAAGTCATGAAGCGATGGTTCCTAAAGCGGGCGCAATTGTTTTATTTGAAGGCAGAAATTCATTTGTTTTTCTTGTTAGTGCGTAGTGCATTTTTCCCCATAGTGAAAAACCGTCAAAAAGCACTAGAAACCTTGCCAAAACCTTCAAAACGTTCAATTTATTTTTTTTTCTCGTTAGTGCGTAGCGCCTTTTCCCCTCATAATTTGGTACCGCAAGAATGAAAAGTTTCGAAACCTCTGTCATAAAGAATCACCCTTAAACTATGATATTTATCCCGGCGTAGAGGAAAGCCGATAAGACGGCTTAATCATAAGGTGAACCACGGTCTCTCGTCCGGTTACCATTCCATGTCGAGTATGGGTTAGTTATTTGTTTTCGGAATCATGGAATTGAACTACACCGAACCATTAATAAGATAGTATTTTTCTTTCGGAGATATGGTTATAAAAGATATATTAAATCACAAAATTTCATTATTTACGATGTTTATTTATTTATAATCACATGAGTTTGAGGCTGACCCAGAAAATTTTGGAGATTGGCATCCCGTTTCTGAATAGAGTACCTCAAAAATATTTCCAACAGCATAAAAATGGAACGAAAAATACGTAATACCAACAGAGTGAAGCTAGAAAAATTTAAGCGAAGAGTATTTAATTTTATGAGAGTAAGAAAAGATATGTTAAAGTATCGAGTAGGTATGGTTTCAAAGTGAAAAACAAGCACCATACAACCTCATTCTGGAGAGTGAATTATGAAGAAAAGTTATGTTGAAGAATTAGATGCATCCACATATTCACAGGTGCCTAAAAAATTTCACCCACAAAATTTCTACCTAGAAAAATTTTGTGATTTTTCAACATATAAAATTCCACAAAATAACCAATTAAAAACACCTTTCAATGAAAGTTTGGGCTGAATTTCCTCTTGGTGGAATATTCCATGGCGCTAACTATTAGATCTGTACACATAAAGTTTTCAGACCAAAACCAGGCCGTACTTATATGGACTCAAAACAGAATGTCATTTATATAGTCCTAGAACTTTAATAGATACACACTATGAGTCAAGTTCCAAACTGACACAAGACGGGCTTCCATAGCAAATTTCTCTGAGAGTACTTATATATATACAGGGTGTCCATAAGTCACTTTAAAATTTCAATTTTTTGAGTTCAGTTCCCAATATATCTCAACCAAGTTTGTGTTTTTTAATCAGTAATTGTTCAAGTATTTTTACATTATTTAATACATCTGTGAGGGCCAAAACAATATATAGTATCGATGATTTCCCTTTGCAATTTAAAAAAATTTTGAGAATTCGTGGAGACCCAGTATAAGCAAAATTTTCGTTTCCACGGACTTTAGATAGGGTTAGCAGAGGCTTAGGCACTTGTATATAAATAAGCATGCCAGGTTTACAAGTGACGGAACTGGCACCATATCAGGAGCATTCACTTTTCAATTTCATGTTCTCAACCATACACAGACACAACATCCATAAAAGCATGCAACAAGAAAACAGTTATAGAAAGTATTTTAAACATATAAGAAAATTGATAATTTGGAAAGTTAGAAAAAATTAGAAATTTTGATTTCAAATGAGAGTTATTGTGTTAGTGTGCTAAGTGAATATGAGTGAAGGCTTTCTAGAAGCAATGGGAGATCATAATTAACAGAAACACTGATTTTGACACAGCTAGGGATGTCCAAAACAAAACGAATATTTCAATACATCTTAAATTGTGTGATTTTGGAATAAAATCTAATAAATTCATTTTAAAATTTGACATTTATTTTTTTTTGGACAGCTCTAAAACTATACTATGATAAAAAGCAGAAAAATATGTAATAATTAACTTATTTCTACGCATATGCTTGCAAATTTTTATAAATTAATTAATCACAAAAAAATTAGGGAAATTATTTGATTAAAAAGTTATAAAGAAACGAAATAATAATATTATCAATTATTTTATTTTTGTTTAAATCAAATAATGTATAAAGGGAAAAAAAAATTTAAAATTTAATTTAAAAAATGAGTTTCTTTACCAAACAAGGTAGTAACTCACTTTTCAGATAATTGGAATCTGTTTGTGCGTCTCCCGCTCCACCGTTGGTAGTAGAGAGTGCATTGAGAGCAGTAGTCGAGTACGCCATACCACCACCAAGACGAGAGCGACGATTAACATCCTTACTGCTTCGAGACGTGTCGTTCGCCAACGGGTCAACTGTAAAAAAAAAAAAATGGAATAATTAAATTAGAAATGTTATTTTAACAAGACAAAAAAGTCAAAACATTAGTTTAAACATTATGGGATGGCCAAAATTGAACTATCTACTATTTTGGATGAAATACATTTTGAAAGAATCTTTTGAGATGTCAAATGTTGGACTATATTGGCTAGGATATATTAATCAGAAAGGTCTGAATAAATTTTTCAAGTTAATAGTAATAATTTAGCAATGCAGAATAGCCGAGTACAATAATATTCCAATTAAAAATCAAAAGTTCCAAGTTTTGTTTCCGAAATTTATTCAGAATAGTAAATAATTCGAATTTTGTCGTCTCTCTCTGACACCAGGCATGCTTCGAAGCAGTGGGTTACACGAATAAGGTGATGTACTCGCATGTATTTGAAAAGCGGCAAGGAGAGATATCTCATTCCAATGGATAGCGTGGATAGATTATAAAATAGCTTGTGAATCTTAGTTTGTTAGTGAGTGAGAGAATGAAGCTTGAACTAGGTTATGAAATGATTTAAGAAAAATGGAAAGATTAAAGCTATGCTCTATAACAGCGGTTCTCAAACGATGGTGCGTAGACTAATTTTTTAAGGAGACGTGAAGCCAATTGAAATTAAAATATTTGTTACATTTGATCTTGCATGCCTTGTTTTGGATATTTCCATTTTTTATTTTTGATACTTAGGTTTCGTCCACGTATTTCCATCCATATGTAGTTTAAAAAAAAACATACTTTCGCTTTACTATCTGTTTTGTAGCCTATTGTTAGCTATTCATTTCTGAGTTTTGGTGAAGGACTTGACAAATTCAAAAAAGGGGGCGCGGCTTAAAAAGTTTGAGAACCACTGCTCAATAAGAAGGAATTGTCTAAAACAGGTATTTCAATTGTTCTGGGAGTAGGAATATTACATAATACAAAATTCTATTTTGAGTTCATATAGGGCCATTAAAGACCGTATAACTTAAATACATTCAAAACAGCACCAAAGTTTCTACTAAACAAAAACAACCAATAACTAACAGTTAACTACGATCAAAAACACCAAATTGCAAAGCAGGAATGCAAAGTAATCCACCAAAACAGACTCTATCTACAAAGTTACACTCTAAATGAAATCACAAAATTCTAAAAAAAAGTAAATGCAGATGTTCTAGTCCATGAATGTTGGTTAAAAAAGGAGAAAATTAGTCAGTAACAAGATAATCAAAATCACTGTTTTTTCTAAAATTGAAAAAAAATGAGAAAATAGTACAGATGCTTCTACGATCACTGCCACAGAGCCCGTCCAAATAAAATTGACAGCCCAAACCATTATTTTATGTTTAATAGCAAGTTACCATTATTGGAACTATAAGTAATATTTCTAAAAAGGGCCAACAACAAGGGAATACCCCGCTCAATCTTAAAAAGCAACATTTCGAAATTTCTATAACACAATAATGAGCAACAACAATCACACATAAATGAAATCACACGATCGCTACAAAACAAAAAAGAACGAAAAACACAAGATGGCGACAGAGGATTATCGACGCGGAAAAAACGACTGTGGAGTTTGGCATGTTTCCACTGGAGTCGGGGTTGTATGACCAACTCTCAGATGTCGAAACTACAACTACATTCTTGAGTTATTTATTTTAGCCCAGACTTTTATCCGCCTAAAGTGTATCATAGGAACATTATGATCAATATATGAGATATAATAGCAACCAAATACATACACACCAATAACTAAAGTTTATGTCACTCAAAATCTAAATTTGTTCCATGAGAGCAGTATTTCGATAAATAATATTCATGTTACTGTTAGCAGAATTACTGGTGTCTGAAATATTTCAGTTTCATCATTGATTGCCCTACTTTTTTACACATTAGAAAAGATTGTACAAGAGAGTTTTATCTGACAGAAATGAGTCAAGTCCTTCCAAGACAATACGAGTTCCCTACACACCAGTCTACTAAAACCACACTCGGAGAAATATTTCAAAAATAAAAACACACCTAAAGCCCAAAAATTAATTACTTAATGTTATGCTACGTTGATCTTTTTGCAAAAAATTTCATTTTCTACGCTATTAATAAAAGCAAACATACTACACATGCGCAAGCATAATGTTATCACCGAAAAATAAAACCGCCATATTTTCGGGGGCAAGCATGTCCCGAATTGGGGGCTTTTTTGGGGGGTATCTTACGTGAATAGGATCCTCGTTTATGTACCGGGTAAAGACGTCGAAGCTGGTTAAACAATTTCATGTTTTTTCGAACCCTTCTGTATGATGGAGCTAGAGAGACAATGATGAGATACAAACACACAATGGTTAGTTAAAACAACAATGCTGATGTCGATGAAAAGCATTATGACAAAATAAAAATACATAAATATTGATTGTGACATCAGCATGCACACACAAAATGGAATTTGAAATGTTTATTTTTATGAAAAATTCTGGCAAAAATCCAGAAATTTTCATTTTTCCCATGAAAATGGATATTTAATTAAATTGAATGTATTTAACTGGAATGAAGTAATATCAAAAAATATCTGATAACACTTAAGAGAGAAAAAATCCTATTTTTTGGGGGGAAATTCGGGTTTAATTCCGGTGGCAAGAAATGAGTGAATACCTAAGAAGGAATATGGACTAGCGCACATTAAATGACCGAAAAAGAGATTTCTCATGTTCATCCCCAAGGAAGAGAAAGTTGAGAAGAAATCTTGATTATACGACTGTGAGGAAGCAAGGAACCACCAAGGAAATGTATTCAGCAGTCCTTCAGTTGGAGTTTAGTTGTTCATAACAATCAACAGCCACCAATCTCAGGTAAAGATAATTGTAAACTTATAAGAAAATTATGTATAATCTATAAAACTACTTAAAAATATGAGATAACTAAGGCTAAACTAAGATTATTCAGAAATTGGAAATATTTGATAATGATTCTAGCTAAGTAGCTATAGCGTGAGGTACTAATGTACTATGGGTGGTACTACAGTAAAGCAAATTAGATTAGGTTGAAATAAAACAAAAATTAATGAGTTGTATCGGAAAGAGTACAAATTACAGAAATCATTAGCTTTTTTAGAAATTTTTTGTTTACCAAAAATTTCTGAAATGTATCTTTTGAAATATTAAATGAATATCCAAAAAGGTTTTTGCATCATAAGCACTTAAAATAACCAAAATTGCTTCATTTTCTGAAAAAAAAATTTTAATTTCTAAACTGAATTATTAGTTTGGATATCGAGATGACTTTGGAATGAAGAAACGCAAATTTAGATCAAATTATTCAAAATTTGTAACATGTCAAAATTTTTTATCAAGAACAATATGGTGATAATATTTAATTAAGTTTAAAATCGCAACCATATAGCATTTATTTATACAAATTTGAATTATCAGTCATATACACTACAACTGTAAAACTAGGAAAATTTTTTAATCAAATACTATGATATTCCATTACTCTATTAAATAAAAAACATTCTTAAATTCTAAATTTTAATATTCTACTCAATTAAGCGGATCTGAAGACTATGTACTAATACTATACTATTCTTTTATCACTAAAAACTAAAAATTAGAAATTCCAAAATCTAAAATTGTTAAATTTTAATATTCTACTGAACTGAACCTGATATAGAAGAATATTTCTTCAAAACTGAAATTTATTAATTTTTAAAAAATTAAAAAAAATAAAATTTTCTTAAAATTTCAAAATTTTTCTCACCAGCTGACTGTTTTCGGTGATTTTCGCTCGAATTCGAGCCCAAAGATTCGTTGTCACGGTCCGCTGATTTCGGTGTCGAATGGTCCTTTGACCCCAATGACCCCTGGCTTAGGAGAGAAGAATCTGGGTTCCTTGGAGAGGCAGCATGCCGCGAGGAATTCGCAGATGTCGGTGGAAGACCGTCTCTTCTACGTCTGTTATCTTTGTCTTTTCCGCCAAGATTCTGGAATGTCTTTTTCAAAGTTGCACCAAAGCCTGAAAAATGGAAAGGTCAGAAGTGAAATATAATAAAAGAGTTACTATAAAACTATCCAATAATGGAATATTTTAGGTTTATCTCTGTATCTGTTTCAAATATTGTGGTTTTGAATATTCAAAAATTAAAATACCGTAATTCAAAGCGAAAAAAAAAATTCGGTCATAAAGATTGGAACAGACCAGGATTTTGTTGATAAAACTAGAATTATTATTACATAAATTCTTGATATTTGACTTTTGGACAAAAGTTTCATTTTTGCTTGCGATTTTACACTGATTACAGGTTTAAATTCTGTGGGAAATAACTATATACAAGAATATTATGTGTCTAGCCATCAAATAGTAAGTACACATAACATCGCGACAGTTGAAGCTTCGTTGACGCATACAAGATGAAGGATTACCAGATCAGCTGTTTTGGCACATTATTACACTTTACTAACAGCTTTCCTCTCTCCCGGGATAAATATAAAAATCTTAAAACAAACCTCTTCTCTTAGGTGGTGAAGGCCCAGGTGTTCTGTACAAATCCATAATCTTTTCTTCAAGTTTTTCTTTCTGTCGACGAATTTCTTGCATTCTTTCACTAAATAGATGAAAATGAAGATGAAGAATTTGTTTCAAGTGAGACTTGAAATAACTGTAAATTATACTGTTAGGAAGTAAGCGTAGTAGCGTAGGTAGAAAGCAGTCTTGATTAAAATCAAACTTAACACTTTGAACCCCAACATCAACGGTTTCTGACCGGTGCCCTGGAACGGTTGGAAGGGGTCACAATGTTACACGCATAATTAATTTTACATTCCATTTTACAAGGAAACTCCACTGTTCTTCCTAGTTACTTATCGATCTTAAGATCGGTAAGTATGTTGATAGGTATTTGTCTGTCTGTCTGTCTGTTAGATACACGCGATATCTCACGAAAGCGAGGTTGAATCTGCTTCAAATTCTGCATGTGCATTCATCATATCTCAGATCAGAAGCCTATTGATTTTGGATGAATTATGTCGTATAATTAGCGAGTTATTGATGGGACACAAAGTGTTGCTATGGAGTAAGAATGGAAGAATTGAAACCGCAGTTTGTTTGAACACAATTGGATTAGGAATCCACCAATCAAAATAACACTATCAATACCACTGGAATAATAAACAGAAGGGCCATGAGTGCTGAAAGCCTCTGAAGGGGGGCCACAAGCCATAAAAGGTCAAGAATAACTGCCCTACATTGTCAGGGGAAAATATGGGAAAAACAAAATTGCAACCAATGGAATTTGAGAAAAAAGTTACCATAGAATAAATCAATATTGAATAAAACGAGACTTGAAATTAATCTGAACTACACTACCCAGAAAATAGCATGGCAACAGACAGACTAGTAAACGGACGAAAGGTCGTGATTCACCACATTATTAGACCGTCTTTTCTCCTTTCCTCTCCCCCCGGAATGAATATGTAAATCCTATCCTAGGCAACTCACGTGTAATGTTTCTGCTCAGTATAAATCTGATCTTTGCTTTCGAGAGTTTGCGAGAGAAGTTCCTCATTTTGAGACATGAGTCTGTTTATCTGCTCGAGAAGATGTCTGTTCTCGTCCTCTAGGTTTTCCTTAAGTTGCATGAGAACGTCGCAACGATTTGAGAGTTTTGATGTTTTGAAGTCTAACTCCTGGTTTTGGTCCTGTAAAGGAATGGGGGTTATTTTTGTTGTTACTATCGTGGTTGCTCTAAATAAAGTTTTGGACAGCAGTTAGTCAAATCCTTTACTGAATTGGTAGTACAGGGTGTCAAAAAAAATATTGCCCGATTTTATAGTAATTCAAATTAAAAAAATTTTGTCCACTGTTTCCTGATAGTTCTTGATATTTTTAAATTATTATACAATAAAATTCATTCAATTGTTATTTTTTTAAAAACAGGCGAAATTTTCTAAACCCTGTATGCAAAAAAAAATTCTTGAAAGTTTTAATTACCCCAGTTCTACTTTATTCCGTTTGTGCTCCTTTTCACCTCTCCCCCCCCCCCAAAAAAAAAAAAACCAACATACCCTCATGCTCTCCAGTTCAGCTTCTAGTTTTGCAAACTCCAACTTCAAAGCATTGTGCGACGTCTTCTCACTTCTGTTCTTGTCCTGAAGTTCTTCATAATCAATGCTCAGTTTTTTGTATGAATTATTCAGTCTGAAAAGAAAAGTTCCAATCAAATTTTCAGAATTTTTTTTTTGAATTGGGGGGGGGGGGTACCATGAACACAGGACTTGCTAAGATTCAGCAAAATTTTGGATTTTTAACCCACAAAACCATGGTGACCCTTGGCGACCCCGTTTTACTGAGTAGGTCACAAATTATTATTTTGGACGTGGGTCTAAATTTATTTGTTCAATGGCATCAACATTCGCTGGTGTGTCTTCTCCACAAATGATTTATTTCTGAATATATCATCAAAGTACACATTGCAGTAAAAAGAACAAACAATAACCATGAAATATAATTGGAACAGCGGCGAGCCCGCCTGCAAGGTCAACAAGGTCAAGTTCACCAACTTTTTCGCTTTTTCGCTCGCATTTGCGTTCCATCCACGTATTTGGAGCATATTTTTTTGAATAAAACATACTTTCACCTTACTATCTGTTATTTGTAGAATATTGTTAGTTAGTGATTTTTGAGGTGGGGCGAGAGATTTAACAAATTCTAAAAAGGGGGGGGGGGGCAGTTTGAAAAGTTTGCAAACCACTGATCAAAACCATACGCTCCAACCTACTTTTCATGAGCTTCCTTCATTACATCTAAATTTCCTTCCACCATTTGTCCTTCAGTATTTTTTCTCTCGACTTCAGATTCGAGTCGTCGTTTCAAACGCTCAACTTCATCTTTCGTGCGGACCAATGAGTTATATTTGTTTTCCAGGTCTTTGAACTGAAAAAAAGAAGTTTTATGTATTTATTTTATTTATGTGGAATTCTCTGATTGTAACTATCATATTTTCACATTAACTTGAACAGATTCAAGTCTTGTGTTGGTCGGTAACTTTTGGCAATTCAGTTTTCATCTATAAGTTTGATTATACTTGCTATGAAATGGTAAAGACATTTTGGAATATTATTTAGATGAAGATTCATGCATTTATCCGCTGAGCGCAGAGTTGTTTGTCTGCTGAGGGGCACGCAATTTCCAGTCCTAGACTATGTAATAGGCCAAGTAATGACTTTAATTAACAGGGTGCTGACATATTGATTGCAGGACAGATAAAAGCTGTAAACCAGGGGTCAGGCCTGCGGAGCAATATAATCCGGTCCGCGACGTTTCAATACATTATAGTAACAAAACGGCTGTTTTCTCGATGATATTCTTTACGCAAAAGAATTTACGTGTAGACTAAATTATATTATAATGTTACAAGTATATAAGTCACAATTACTCCTTTAATGAGCCTATAATTTAGACAAATGGCGACAAAACGTCGAAAAGTTGATGCTAAGTGCAAATGGTTCAATGGCGCAAAAAATATTCAAATGGTCAATCTTCGCGCACTGCTTAAAATTTAACCTCTGATCTGTGTGAAAAAGTGTGATTCATTGGTCATCCTTTCGGTTTTTAACTTTCTAAAAATATGTGCGGCCCCGCCAATGACTTGCAATCTTTAATTTTGGACCGAGAGCGACAAAAGGTTGCCTACCCCTGCTGTAAACAGTGTGTTTATGTCATCCACACTGCTTTGCCGAAATTCTATCACAGTTTGAGTGCTTTTCCTACAGACCAGAGGTGCGATTAGAAACGGGGAGTAGCCAGAAGTTTTCAAAGGGGGGAGGAGATTTTGAAATTTTAAATTGCCAAGCTGGTCTGGCTGGAGGCCCGAAAACATGAGCTTTTAACCCTTACCGTGCGGTGGGCACGTATACGTACCAACGACAAAACTCGCTAGATCGCGGCGGGTACTTTAAGTTACCCATTGTTTTATTTAGCAATCGGTCGCAAACTGTTGGTCTAGTTGTTCCGGGTTTTAGTTTATTGATAAGAAGTCTTCTTCGAGATTAACATAAGCGACGGTAAATCTCGCTTTCGTTTACGACAGGCGGAACGAGGGAGTGTTTTTGAAATTTACGCGAATTTCGGTGTTTTTTGGGTGGTAATAGAAGACATATTATCCCTTCCATCTACCAAAGTATTTTGAGTTAGATCACGAAATTGCTACAGCAACATTATGCTATTGTTTGCCAACCACGAAGCGGTAACAGAAAAGGATTTAACAAATATTTCTATTTTTTATCACGGTTTGAAGTTTCAACTCCCAAGAAAAAAAATGCCTTTTTTCTATCCGGTTTGCGACTCAGACCACCACTTTTGCAAAACTTTTTTTTTTAATCGCCAATTGCAAGCTCTTTAAATAAGCTTTTCAACGAGGCATCAGTGGGCAGCAGAGAATCATTAGTTTTTCGTTAGTCGATCGATTAGTTGTGGGGGTACAAATGCATAAAATTGGCGTAGCAAATACGATTATTTAATAAAAAATAAAAATCGAGTCTTGAGGGTCTAAAGAGCATTTTGGGCTTAAAAAAATTGCTATTTATGCTACAGAAAAAAGATTTTTTTTACAAGTTGAAACGGAGGGGGGTCCCGACCTCCCTTCTTGGCAACAGACCTGATTGAAATACCTTATATATTCGTAATTTCTTATAAAGCTCTTGCCGGACAAATTATACCAAAAATTTAGAGTTTTATCTTTAAAATCCTTGGTCCTCGACTTACCTCGACTTTAATCTTTTTATGTTGTGACTTCAGTTTCTGATGTTCTTGCATTAAACCTTCAACTTCTATCGTTTGGTTTTCGTGAAGTTGCATTAGATCGTCATGGTCTTTCTCCATATTGTCACGTTCGTGTTTAGCATCCTCTAGTTGCCGAACTAATTCATGTTTTTCTGTCTCGATTGTAGAGTGCTGGTTTGTTACAGATGTGTTTTGCGCGAGTAGTGACGTCGTTTGTGACTGCAAAGTCGAATTTTCAACCTAAAATAAAAATGAATTAAATCATTTTGTGCACAATGTCTGCCTACTCCTGGTAGATATTACTCAATTTTTTTTAATTTTTTTGTTTCATAAAGTGTTGCATTAACGGCATTGGGTGAAAAAAAGTCAAGTCAATAATCAAGAATAATATAATCTCATTCCACGAAATAGCAAGTATATTTGAGAACTTGCGTTAAATAATAGTCTAATTTTATTCAGACAAAACAAGATGTAACTTAATCAAACAAAAGAAAGGAAATGCAGTTCGATACACAATACCCTGGTATGGAAATCTCATTACAATGCAAAGTGACAGTTTTCCTGCGAGTTATAACAGAAGAAATTGGCTCTGCGCGCTATTCGGTTACTTATCGAATTACTGACTTGGCTAACTTTGTAAATGCATTGAGCATTATTGAATATTCTCCTCATTCATTTAGTGCAGCTGTAGTACCGTGAACATTTGAAAACATTTGATAAAATAATACCTGTAGTTTGGCACACTGGGTCTTCAAATTTGTTGTTTCGTCCTGAAGTTTAGTTTGTTTTATGATCATGCTTTCGTTTTGAGATCTGAGCTTTGTAACTTGCTCTTTCAGTTCTTGTGACATCGTTTGGATTGAAGAGTTCTCGGCTATCAATGTTGCGTTCTGTGAAAACAGGAATTAGTTGATTTGAATATGGCTCTAGACAAGCAGTTACAGGGGATGCACATTTTAGTTCTGGTCTAAAACAGTGGTTTTCAAAGTCGATTGGCCAAAATTAGAAGCAGAAGGATATTCATGGGATTGGAAGCGTGAACGAGCAAGCGGTCGATACCTGTTTGTGTAAGTTTGGCGGGCAATATTAAATCACTACACGTGCCATTATTAGGTCGCGGGCGATGGTTTTGGAATCACTGGTCTGAAATTATAGCTAAATAAACATTTTTACAAAATGATGAGTAAAAATGAGAACCAGCTTTCAAATCAGCTCACTATAACCATCCACAAGATAACTAAAAACGTGTCGATTAGATATTTCACATAATAAAATTTACTTTGAATTAATTTTTCTACCCTTACCTTTTCCCCCTCAAAAAATCCCTTCTTTCTCTCCGCACAAAATTCATATGAATTTCATTACCTAAACATGATACTGAACCCCCAATTTCACCAAACTATCAAATCGCCCCCCCCCCCCATCAATGAAAAATAAAAAATAAATTTCCCCACACACCTTTCTTTCTACATCAATCAAATGATCTTTAATCTTCAGCAACTCCGTGGTCGCAGAATAATCACGAGAGGATCGATTGCGAGATTTGCTGTAATCAACTTCCTCGTTATGACGCTGAGCAAGAGCTTCATAATCTCGTTTGATATTCTGAAGTGGTAAGAAATAATAGCTTTTTAATGGGATGTTCCGCTCTGAACAAGGCTCGGCACTCCAGAAGTATGTGTACCAATATTGAGGTAACTAATTTTGTTTGCCTACTTTACATCAAGTTGTGTCAAGGGAATGAAACCTATGGGCAGGGGTATATTCACTTGGCTAACACAACCATTCCCCGAACTCGTAATAGAACTAAAATAAGAAAATCGGAATAAAATTATCACCTCGCCCTAACCAGGTACACACACTACATGAGTACCCAAGGCTCTGTGCGAGTAGTCGTTGAGCAAAAAAAAATTTTTTTGGGGGGGGGGGGGGGGGGGTTAGGGAGGTCCAGAATCTTTTCAATACAGCATTATGAAATTATAGGTAATAATCTGCATACTATGCAATTCAGGTGTCCTGTAGTTAACATAGAAAGTGGAATAGACGATAGAGGTATTGTAAGAAAAATATTTGACTTCCTGACTATGATATAATTGTACCATCATGATAATAAAGTCAAGAGTCGACTTTGCAAAATGGATATTGGAAAATTTTTGAGGCGTTTTAATATTCAGTGTGACAAATTACGCGATGTCAATTTTATTTTTTGAAGAGGGATAATTGAGCTTAAATTTGCGGGGTAACGAGTAAAAAGCTGGAGACCCACTGATCTAAAGTCTTGTTTGAGTTAGAGGTTAAGAATCATTTTATTATAACAGTAAAAAGCTGAAAACTAGCTTATACAGGCAATAAATAGCATTGCATTAGGATTAGGATGAGTTCTAAAAATCTTACTTTTATGTCTTCTTTCAACTTTTTATTAATATTCACCGATTCTTGCAATCTTGCATCGAGAGAATTAATTTTTTCTTCTTTTGCTTCCACTGTTTTCTTGAACGTTGACTCAAACCGGCTTTCCAAAGCTTTAAATCGGCTGTTAGAGTGATAATAAAGGAATAAAAAAATATATAGGGTGTCCATAAAATCTTTTAAAATTGCGCAAAGTGTATTTATCGATACCATATGTTGTTTTGACCCTCACAGATGAATTAAATGAAGTGAAAAAAACGTGAATAATTACTGTTAAAAAAACAACAAACCCGGTTAATATATATTGAGAAATGACTTCATACCAAAATTGAAATTGTAAAGAGACTTTAAAGACACCCTGTATATTCACCAGCCGAATTGCAAATACAGAAAGCAAGCAATTTTTTGGATTCTTTCAACATCCAATGTCTCAAGCGAGCGAAAGAGCTTATGATCTTTTCTCTTCCCAGAATATTAATATAAAATGCTAAGTGAATGAAAGTCCGGTTAACTAGGCCAACCGGTTTGGTTTCTGCTCCTCATAAAATACGTCATTATATAAATAAAATGTCATCGCTCATAAAATTAATCCTCCCCATGGGCTTTCCCCAAGAAATTTTTTAAACTCAAGAAAACCTCAATTTTAGCAGACTGGTTGTTTGCACTCAGCAGGATACTCAGCACTCACTCACTTGCACTCAGTCAATACTCAATTTTTAGAAACTAAAAAAATCTTACTTTTCATCCAACTGGATGTTTGCACTCAGTACTCATTCAGCCAATACTCAGTTTTTTAAACCTATTAACTTACTTTTCATCCGACTGGCTGTTTGCACTCAATAGTTGTTCTTTATTCAATCCAATGAGTTCCAGTTCACTCGACAATCTGTCCATTTCACTTTGTTTTTGCTGGACGAGCAATTTCTCATTTACGAGATCTTCTCGAAGTGTTGTCAAAGTTTTTCTGAAAAATGAAATGAACCGTTAAGAAGACGTTAAGAACAGTGTGAGACGGGATTTCTAGTACTCGAATTGCAGGGTTTGTATTCTGTCGAGGTTTGCTGAGAATTAATTGAACCGTGTAAACAGAATTTCTAGTGCCCAAATTGCAGGGTTTTTATTCTGTCGAAGTTTTGTTGAAAATTGGAATAAACCATTAAATGGGATCCGTATTGCTTAAATTGTTGGATGAAGTTTATTATTTCAAGAAGAATTGGTTGAAAAAACAATATTTATAATAAAGGGTGTGTTGGTTAGATATAAATTGTTAAAATGTTGGATTTCAATATGTCAGCATTGCGTGTCAACAAAAACATATCAAAAATAGGAAATCCAAAAACAGTTGTCCAAAAGTATGCCGCAATCTTTAGACCAGAGGTTCCCAAACTTCTCAAATCGCATCCGCCTTTTTAGTAAGGCGGAAGTATACTTTATTCAAAAAACATGTTAAAAATATATGGAGGGACAATCAAATCTAACAACTATTTTTATTTTCATTTAATTTCAAACTCTTCAAAATAGTGTCTACGCCCCCATGATAGGGGCGCGCCACACTGTTTGAGAACCACTGCTTTGGAAAATGTCTTGCAACTACTCACTTCTCCACACTTTGGTTTTTCTTCAAGTTCCGAACTTCGGTTTCCAATTCTCGGATTCTATTTTGACCATCTTCACCTTTCTCAATTTGCCGCATCATTGCTTTATTTTGACGATTCATGCTCTCTAGTTCTTCTGTCGCTTCTTCAAATTTCGCTGACATGGACTAGAAAATAAAAAGGGGGGGTTACACGCTATCAGTCCTTGAATTCTGAGTAACACCTGGGTCTCAAGCAATGTTCCCTCTAATTTTTTGTAGTATGTGTGCGCAGAAATTTTGGTGCGTGCGCAATTTTTTGGAAATGACTAATATTTGTGCAAAAACCAATGAAGAAATTTTGGCGTTCTAACCGGGTAATAAGTGGGCCAACTTTCTCAACCTGCCAACCGAGAACATTGTTACATTACATTGAAATACGTCTGTGCGCAGTAAATCTATGCGTGTGCGCAGCCTCTGGAAGCCGTGTGGAAGCTTTAGAGGGAACACTGGTCTCAAGTCAAGTTAATCACTGATTTAAGTCTTAATAGTGGTTAGTTGATGATGTAGTCACGGCCGCAGCCAGGTATTTTTGAACATGGGGAGGGGGGAGGCGTGAGAGTGTGAAATTTTTAATTGCAAAGTTAGGCCTTAATAGCTAACGAGCGGCTTAGGCTTTTTTCTTGCCCTTTAAAGAGGGGGACTTATGACCCCCCCCCCCTTGGTACGATAACAAGTTATTATTATGGTAAGAGGTTATTAAATTTCTAATTGCCAAGTTAGGCTGTAACGGACAGCGGGCTGGAAAAGTGGGTTCATGAGGGTCTAAAAAGCGTTTCAAACTTCGAAAAATTGCTATGTATGGTATAGAAAATACTTTTTTTTTTTCTTACCATCCAAAAGGGGGGAGATCCCCCCCCCCCCATAATACTCTGCTCCAACCTCTAATAATTTCTTTTAAAATAACACCTCCTTACATATCATATGAGCTTGTACAGAGTAAAACTCCATTATAAAAAAAGTAAAGAGAGAACCCCTGCACCAACCTCCAATGACTTTTTAGCTCTTGTGGCTTCTTTTGACAGTTTCTTATTCGTAGACTGGAGTTTGACGCTGTCGGTTTCCAATTTTTGATATTCTCGTTCATAATGTTCAAGTTTTTTGCTCGAAGCTACAAGTTTTTCAAGCCGTCCTTGTAGCTGAAATAAAGTAAGGTAGAAGAGTTAGATATATGTGGATGATTTTCTACTATAAAAATACAACTTATAAGTACCATCTTGTAAGAATCTTAGACTAAAACAAGAACTAAGGCTTCAGCCACCGTTGAAGCTAAAATATAGCAAAGTGAAAAAAAAAGATAAAAAAAATGAGTGGTACTGCTGAAAACGTACTATTTTTCAGGATTTTTGACTAAAATTAGCTCCAGAGAACTGTCTTTGGGCTGCAGTGCTCCAAGCTTTAAGGTAGAAAAGTCAGATATATGTGAGTCATAATACTATGAAGGTAGAAGTCCCGAAGTAAAACAACAAGCGACCATCGAAACGTCAAGATCTACTGAACCTATATAAAACATTCAAGATTTGAGCATTCAGTCCATAGTTTTGCTCCAAACAAAGCCTTGGACAAGTAGCTTGGACTTAGATCTACAATTTTCTGAAACATCCACAAGTTTTATGTGGGAGATCTCTGGCATGCTCGGGATGGAATGAAAATTTGTTAAAATGACCCGCATTATACTAATCAAGTATTAATTACTATGTTTGTTATAATTCACCTCTTCATTTTCCTTCTCTAGTTCTTGAATTTCTTTTTCCTTTGAAACTTGAGAAACATCGAGTTGATTTCGAACCCTTTCCAATTCATTTTCCAGTTCCGCTTGAAGGATCTGGAATACAAAGTGCCCACACTGAATAAAACTCAAAATAGCCCTTAGAAAGCCAGTGACAGCTCTTCTCTCAATAATTACTCAATTTAAGCTAAAGGTGTGGAATTTGTGTAAAAAACTCTGTAGCAATCTGAAGCAAATAATTTATAGTTTTCATCATTTTAACTGCCCCCGAGATAAATATGAAATGGTGCTCCCGAAGTATGCGAACCAAGATGGCGGACATCGGAACGTAACACGGGTAACAGGTTAGGGTTAGGCGATAATTTCTTTCCAATTTTCCTTATTTTAGTCCTATTATCAGTTCGAAGACTAGCCAAGAGTCTCCCGTAGTATTTATACCTAAAATTATGGCCTAACCCTAACCTAGTACACATATTACATTCCGATGTCCGCCATCTTGGTTCGCATACTTCGGGAGCCTCTATGAAATTCCTAATCTTAAGTGTAAAACAACCAACCTCCATTTTTTCAGTCTGTTCTTTAGACTGTTTCATTGCTTCCATGCTTCTTCTCATCCTTTTCAATGCTTTTTCAGCGTCTAGTTTTTCTTGCTCTAGCGTCGTCATTTTTTCACAAGTCTTCTTCAGTGACTCCACCTAGTGGGTAAATTTTGATAATTATGAAGACACAAGATGGAAGCAAATTTACCAATGGATGAATTTTCCAAGAGTTCAAAAAATTTGAAATTCTGACTACACCAAATTCAGAATAAGATGCAATCCACAGTTACTCCTGTAGTGTGTGTACCAGATTAGGCGATTATTTTAGTCAGAATTTCCTTATTTTAGTCCTATTATTAGTTCGGAGACTGTTTGTGTTAGCCAAGAGAATATACTCTCTACCCATAGGTTTACGTCCCTTTACACAACTTGATAAAGTAAGTAAAGTAGACGAACAAAATTAGTTACCTTCATATTGGTACACACACTTCTGTAGCGCCAAAAAAGCACAAGAAATGAAAATAAAGCACCAACAGACCTGTCTTCTTAGCTTAGAGGCCTCTTGTTCTGACAGACCTTTGTCTTTTTCAAGATCTTGGACTTGCAATGTCATGTTTTTAAGGTTGTCAACTTGTTTCTTCAGTTGCCTGGAAATGAGGAGTAAAATTATAAGACTGTATGAGCAGAAACAGATAATAATTTTCCATAAGGTTTGAAATTAACGGAAAGTATTGAAACCTATGGGAAAAGGGAACAGAATGAATCAACAGCCATGCAAAACAAGCACGAGAATAAATAAAATAGAAAAGAGAATAAACTTTAGTATGAGTAATTTTTTATGTTCATGCTTTATGTTCATCGGCTTGGCGGCCAAGCGTTAGGAATACATACACCACTGTAACTCTAATGTAACTATTCGCAGGTTCGAATCCCATGCAGGGGTATTTATGTGCGAGAAGATTGCTGGACTCCGTAGGTGATTCATGTAACCGTTGGTCGGTTACGGCTTTCTCCACCATCAAGTCCATGCTTTCTAAAACAAATAACTGACTAACTAATCCCATACCCGACATGGAATGGTAATCGAAGAGGCTGTGATTCGCCATATGCTTAGGCCATCGTAACGGCTTTTGTCTGCCCTAGACCAGGCGCCACAGACATTATTACAAACCTGTTCTCAACGTCTAAATCTGAATTCATTTGTTCCAATTGTTCGACCTGTTGGCAAGTAATCTTCAGTTGAGCAATGCTTTTCTGCAGTGATATGTTGTCTTTCTCTAACTTGGTGTTTTCCTGGGAATAAAAAAATTATCAGTGTTTCAAATAGTTTATATTTGTGTACAGTAAGGCCTGGTGATTAGAGCATTGGTTCTCAACCTGCAAGAGAATTTCCAGTAGTACGCGAGCATCTTTGAATTATTGCAACAATTAACTTTTGAGTTGACTAATTTATGCTGGCAACACTTACTCTTTGTTTTCCATACTGTATGTATTAGATAAAAGGCTACCAGTCCTTGTCTTGCAGGTCAAAGTGTATTCGCCGAGGTTTGTAATAATATAGTATTTTTTGAGTATTATAACTATAAAATTGAGCACATTTTAAGACATCCGGTATATATACATACTTTTGTTAGCTCTTCTGCTCTCTCAATATTATCTTTCGCTTGTTCCAATGATTTCTGAAGTTGCTTTTTCTCAAATTCTACTTGATGGATTCGTGATGTCACTTCCTTTACTGTCTCACTCAAAACCTAGAATTATAAATTGTATTTGCAACGTGCCATATCTATGTACCTTGTAGCTTTACATGTTTGATTCCCATTTACAGGAACTCTTATTCAACACAAAAAATTAAAAGTTACATGATTATATTCAGGCAATACCTACCTAGATTGGCAGGCCTTGTAGGTGTGACATGCATAGTAACATTTCGTGAACAACATTTCATTTACAATTTTATGTTACAAAAGCAAAACGACTAGGCAAAAGAAACAAGTGTGAAAAGCACACCATCAAATCGAATAAGCGAGAAAACATAAAATGTAACATGAAAGTTTGTGGCCGTAGTTTGGTCATATCAGGGCTATACCATATCGCAATTACCATTCAAATCGATAAATATCAAAATTCAATTGCAACTAGAGCTGCGTGCAGCTTTAACAGGCTTCCCGCGTAAAAAAAAAATTTGCATTTTATTGCTAGCTGAGAACTTCTGCACATTTGAGGTGAATTTCAAGTTTGTAGGACCAATTTGAAAAAAAAATAATAAAAATAAATAATAATAATTAATAAATAATAATAATAATAAAACACAGGAATACAATAGGTTCCCTGCTGACAAGCAGCGGGAAGCCTAATTATCCAAATGAGAATCTGAGAAGAAATAATTCAGTGATTATTTTGCTTGGTTAGAGAATCTGAGACGAGATTATTCAGTGATTATTTTGCTTGGTTATAGTTATTATTAGACAAAAATTGTTTTCCTTACAAAATACTAGAAAATTCAATGAACAACCAATCGCTTTCAAATTTTCGATACTTAAAAGATAAGTACGTTGTAGGCCATCATTTTAAGTTTTTCTGTTAAATTTTCTGGGTGGGGACCTTCAATCTTTCTGATTTAAAAAAATGTTTGGATAAAAACTTTCGGGGCTCCCGAAGTATGCGAACCAAGATGGCGGACATCGGAATGTAATATGTGTACTAGGTTAGGGTTAGGCCATAATTTTAGGTATAAATACTACGGGAGGCTCTTGGCTAGTCTTCGAACTGATAATAGGACTAAAATAAGGAAAATTGGAAAAAAATTATCGCCTAACCCTAACCTGTTACCCATGTTACGTCCCGATGTCCGCCATCTTGGTTCGCATACTTCGGGAGCACCAAACTTTCACTTTGAATTTGCTCTGGACATTTGACAATGAACTTCAATTTCGGTACTGTATTCTGCCTAATCAATTTATTACACACTGTGTAGAATGGTGGTAGGTGTAAGGCTCACACATAACACCAACATAATCAGGTTCAATGCGCCAAACACCAGCAAATAAAAAATACATAGTGAGTAAAATACTTAGGTATGGAATACCCAATGTATATTAAATCAGGACTTGTTGATCGAAAAACATAAAAAGGCTATGTGAATATTCTATGAGTTTAATTTGGAAAAGAAATTCGAAAAATATCAAGACAGCTGAAGTAAGTCAAATACCTTATTTTCTTTTTCAATATCTTTCGTTTTCCCTTCAGCGTTGATTTTAGTTCGTTTTCTTAAAGTTTCGACAGTTTTATTCAGTTGCTCATTCTCATGTTGAAGTTCTTCAATCTGCCTGGCGGAATTTGATTTGACGGTTTCCAACATTGTTTCCAATTTTTTCTTTTCTGCCATCATGTCTCCAGATAATTGTTCGTAGTCAAGAACAGAATGCTTTTCCTAGAAAGATAGAGCCCGGTTATTTTCAAGTAATTGGCTACTAAAAGGTATATTCATAGTAAGTAAGTACACAACTGGCTTAGACCAGAGTTTTCCAAGATTTTTACAGGGGGGCAGCAACGATGTGAAAAGAATCTAATCGATCTTTAATGATTGATATTAAACAAAAAGGTGCTCCCGAAGTATGCGAACCAAGATGGCGGACATCGGAACGTAACATGGGTAACAGGTTAGGGTTAGGCGATAATTTTTTTCCAATTTTCCTTATTTTAGTCCTATTATCAGTTCGAAGACTAGCCAAGAGCCTCCCGTAGTATTTATATCTAAAATTATGGCCTAACCCTAACCTAGTACACATATTACATTCCGATGTCCGCTATCATGGTTCGCATACTTCGGGAGCCCCAACAAAAATGTATTGAATATTTTTGGTCCACAAATAAGGGCCCTGGTTTCGGAAACTCTGGTTTAAACAAGTCATGAATGTTAGTGGTATGACGAGACAGTACATAAAGCGTTAGATTTAATTATCTTGTGATTGTGAGCTGTAGATGTCGGATTCAGGTGCCGTTGATTTTTCATAGTTTCCTTAACGGAAATAAGAGAGGAAAGACAGAAAAGTTGGCAACATAATTTGATCGTATGACATGTCCGGTTCGTAGGTAACCAGTTTGTTGCATGATAACAACACTATCCTACCTTATTCAGTAACTCTTGAAGTTGTGTAACTTTGTTTCCGAGTCTCTTGTTCTCTTTCTCGAGTTCGACTTTGTTAGCCTGAATCGAAAGTATATTTAAACATTGTCGTTTTTAAGCCGTAAGACTTGTGACATGCCCGAATACTGTCTGAAATACAGATACCTGGAACTGTATAATTTTTTGTTACAACTAAAATGTGAAATGATTTATTAAAATATGCGATCCAAATTGGGTGATAATTGTTCCGATTAAATTCCTAGTTTTGCCATGTTTACAATTTATGTTATAATTTGTTTGATATCTTTCCAACACAAATATGCAATCTCTGTAAATCTTATCAAGGCTCGCCTGGCTAGAATTCTTACGTCTGTGATTTTTTTTCTCACAGATAGGAGAGTGGGACTTTGCAATGATAAATGCAGTGGCATGTCTAGAGGGAGGGCCAAAGGGGCAGCCGCCCTGTGCAGCACATTACAGGGGTGAGTTTGTTTGTTTGTACATTTTTTCTCATGTTCAACAACATCTATAATTAGTTTTTCTCCCTTTTTTTTGAAGTTAGGTATAAGGGGCAGCACAGAAAAGTTCGACACACCACTGGATAAATGATATATAAAATATTTAATCATGAGAAGTAAATAATGTCTTACTTCCTCAATCTGAGCACTTGACATTGAAACTTTGTAGGAATTGATGAGAGATTGCAGATGACGATTCTCTTTTTCAAGACGAAGAACACGATTTTGAGCCGATTCATTTGATTCCTCATGAATGGATTTGTGCATTCCTAAAAAATAACAATTTGGTGTTAATTTCAAAGCCTGCAACATCCTCGATGATGCATGAAATATCATTCAAGCTTTCAAAAGCTCATGGATTTCACTTTGAAATTGAATAATCAGAATTCGTTTTACTTGTTCAAATCAAAATCTTCGAACAGCGCTAGCAACATCATTAAACCAAATTGCCATATCAGCAGAAGTACTCAGTGCTAAAAAGGCCAAAGATACAGATGGCTTGGTGGTTAAATGAATTGCTAGCATTGATATGCAGATGTTACAGGCAAGGATGACCAAAACCAGACAAATCTAATATTACGAATACATTTTGTAAAAATAATTCAAATACAAAATATTGAATATTATTCAAAGTCAAGTCAGGTCATGTTTTACAGAAAAATTGAACAAATGATTGTAAGACTCCTGCTTTTTTCAGAAACTGTAACTTCCTATATATCGTTAAACATCTGTGACTGCTTATACCGAGCATTGTTTGGAGCGAAAAGTATGAACAAGTGTTGCCTAAATTATACAGAAAAAACCATGGAAATTCCCAACAAAAAAAGTTCGTACCGTCAGAGGTCTTGGCTTGTTCTAGTTGATAAGCAAGGTTGCCAGATTCATTCATGCTTTGTTTCTTGTCCATTTCTAATCCCATGTTCTCTTCAACTAGTTCTTGGATTCGTTGGTGGTCTTTGTCTTTTTCCTGGAAATTTGAAATTTTTATGCTTTCGATTACGATTCTATTAGGGATTTAATGTAACCCCTAAGAATAAATTTAGCACACAATTTTTTTATTTTTATACCGGACGAATAAGCTGTCATCTTTTTTTTTGATTACATAATCAAATGCGACTGTTGAGCAGCAAAAATGTGAGACTCTTTCAACAGAAAAATAACTATATATATATGTGATGTGATGTGAGACTCTTTCAACAGAAAAATAACTATATATATATGAGCTTTTGGCTGTGATTGCTTTCCCAACGGTTTTTGCAGAGTGTTTTTTTTATGAATAGGGGTCTGCATAACCCATCCATGAAACTACGACTGCAGTCCTAAAGCAATGCCATGACTAGTGAGGTAAAAAAACGACCAATTCAACATTCTAAATACGTTTTAAATTTACAGTTTTGAATCTGATAATTTAGAAAAATGGAATAAACACCAAATCTCAAATTTCCAAAATGGCAAATTTTAAGACAAATATATTTTAATTATTTCCGATTGAAGAATTAAATCCATGAAATTTGGTCATTGGCAATTGCATTCCAATATTCAATTAATTTTAAACATCGCTAAACTTGAAATTAAAATTTTCCTCCCCAGTACAAAAAAAATGCTTTCAAAATCCCTCCTACCTCCATGAGACTCGATATCTGGCGCTTGAGATCAATAATCTTTTTCTCGGTGTCGACTAACTCGTCCAACCGTGACTGCGCTGTTTCGAGTTGTTCGTCCAGCATCGCTTTCGTTTCATGAAGAACCCTGGGTGGAAGAAGTAATAAATTTTATGGTTTATGGAATACAGTGTTTGAGAGACAACTCACAACGTTGTTCAAAGATAAGGAGAAGAAGGTGAGATAGTAATTCCTGTCTGTAAGAGAGATGGCCTCCTGTTTAAACCGTTTGTCTGAGTATTTTGACGTCCCTGATCATAAGTCTTTGGTTCAACCACAATGCCGAGCTAAGGTATGTCGAAATGTCGTTGGCAATGGCGAAACGAAAAAATTAAGTCCTTTTAAAAATTGTGTCTCCATACAGATCTGTGTTAAGACCCCTATTCAAGTGAAGATAAGAACATTCCCATCAAAAAGCCATTTTACATTTCAAATAACAGTATCAGAAAATAATCTTCAGTTATTATGGTAATAGTAAGCCCTTACTTATCAGTTACTTATTTATCCTGCTCGTTTAGAGACTTGTTTATGGTAAAGGTTGAGAATGAGAAGCAAAAAAAAGAGGCCTTTGGTATTCAATAAACTGGGATCTCCGCTCAATTACCAACAATCTAACATTCGATGTATACCATCAAATGTCCTAGCGTCCGCTATATAATCCAACCGCATACCTGTTATCATCTCTCAGTTCCTCTACTCTCTGTTTATAGAAATCGACATCTTTCAATTTCTCTTTCAATCTTTCAACTTCGTGCTCAAGTCTTGTCGCTTTCGTTGCTTTCTCTTTTAAAATATCATTCTCGTCGCGATATGTTCTCGCTGCTCGTGCATCGTTTGCTAGTTCGAGACTCTGAAAAGTAAAAAAAAGAGAATCAGTAAAGATTAGGATGGGTTAAAATGTGAAGATTGCTATTTCTGGACTTGAGAATTGCAAAAAAGACAAGCTAAGTTCAACTTAAGTCAGCAAGGGGCAGTAAAATGACTTTTTATATTTTTCATTCCATTCTCAGACATGTAGAAATAAGTATTTGATATTGTACAACTATCAGGTTGTCTAATTCATAGAATTAATAGAAAAGTAAGCAAGGTGGCTTGATTGACGCTCAACCCCCTCCATCTCCAGGGCTACGATCCTGTCTTGCATAATCACCAGTCCATGCCAAGTATAGAATTCGTGAAGCAGTTTGTGAGTATAAACAAACCACTGTGATAGCCATAACTAGCCGCTGGCTACTGGAAACATTTGGCATCCAATTTGAAATTGTGTGATTTTAACAAATATCATTCTCGACTGTGGTTTTAGGAAAAGGGTTTGAATCTTGGGATCCCAACACAAGTTAAAATAGTTAAATAAAAAACTCAAAAATGTTCTGCCAATAAATACAAATATCGGTATGCTAAAATTGTTCTGCAAGCCGAATAGAACGTGTCAACTTGTCACACACAAAACAAAACGATCTGGAATTGCTATTCACCTCTTGTTTGAGTCTCTTCAATAAATTATCTTTTTCTTCAAGTTCATTTTTCAGATCATTGGCTTGCTCTGTTTTGTCGTCTCTGATTAAAAAATTTGAACATTCAATTATGAAAATTGACACATTCTGACAATGCGTGACAAAGACTAAAAATGATCTGGTAGCTAGAAAAATGAAGCAATTTTTTGCCACAACAATAAAATTCAAAAGACCCATAGGTTATGTCCAGGGGCGTAGCAAGGAAATTTCAAAGATGGGGGTTCGGCTACGCGTTTTCAAAGAGGGGGTTCGGCTACGCGTTTTCAAAGAGGGGGTTCGGCTACGCATTTTCAAAGAGGGGGTTCGGCTACGCATTTTCAAAGAGGGGGTTCGGCTACGCGTTTTCAAAGAGGGGGTTCGGCTACGCGTTTTCAAAGAGGGGGTTCGGCTACGCATTTTCAAAGAGGGGGTTCGGCTACGCGTTTTCAAAGAGGGGGTTCGGCTACGCGTTTTCAAAGAGGGGGGTTCGGCTACGCGTTTTCAAAGAGGGGGTTCGGCTACGCGTTTTCAAAGAGGGGGGTTCGGCTACGCGTTTTCAAAGAGGGGGGTTCGGCTACGCGTTTTCAAAGAGGGGGTTCGGCTACGTGTTTTCAAAGAGGGGGGTTCGGCTACGCGTTTTCAAAGAGGGGGGTTCGGCTACGCGTTTTCAAAGAGGGGGTTCGGCTACGCGTTTTCAAAGAGGGGGGTTCGGCTACGCATTTTCAAAGAGGGGGTTCGGCTACACATTTTCAAAGAGGGGGTTCGGCTACGCATTTTCAAAGAGGGGGTTTGGCTACGCGTTTTCAAAGAGGGGGTTCGGCTACGCGTTTTCAATGAGGGGGGTTCGGCTACGCGTTTTCAAAGAGGGGGTTCGGCTACGCGTTTTCAAAGAGGGGGGTTCGGCCTAAGCGTTTTCAAAGAGGGGGGTTCGGCTACGCGTTTTCAAAGAGGGGGGTTCGGCTACGCGTTTTCAAAGAGAGGGTTCGGCTACGCATTTTCAAAGAGGGGGTTCGGCTACGCATTTTCAAAGAGGGGGTTCGGCTACGCGTTTTCAAAGAGGGGGTTCGGCTACGCATTTTCAAAGAGGGGGTTCGGCTACACGTTTTCAAAGAGGGGGGTTCGGCTACGCGTTTTCAAAGAGGGGGGTTCGGCTACGCGTTTTCAAAGAGGGGGGTTCGGCTACGCGTTTTCAAAGAGGGGGGTTTGGCTACGCGTTTTCAAAGAGGGGGTTCGGCTACGCATTTTCAAAGAGGGGGTTCGGCTACGCATTTTCAAAGAGGGGGTTCGGCTACGCGTTTTCAAAGAGGGGGGTTCGGCTACGCGTTTTCAAAGAGAGGGTTCAGCTACGCATTTTCAAAGAGGGGGTTCGGCTACGCATTTTCAAAGAGGGGGTTCGGCTACGCATTTTCAAAGAGGGGGTTCGGCTACGCATTTTCAAAGAGGGGGTTCGGCTACGCGTTTTCAAAGAGGGGGTTCGGCTACGCATTTTCAAAGAGGGGGTTCGGCTACGCGTTTTCAAAGAGGGGGGTTCGGCTACGCGTTTTCAAAGAGGGGGGTTCGGCTACGCGTTTTCAAAGAGGGGGTTCGGCTACGCATTTTCAAAGAGGGGGGTTCGGCTACGTGTTTTCAAAGAGGGGGGTTCGGCTACGCGTTTTCAAAGAGGGGGTTCGGGAATTTCTAAATTGCTAAGGTATAGCACAACAGCACAACAGCTAGCGAGTCAGGCCTGAAAAGTGTATTTTTAAGAATCTCGAAGGCCTAAAAATCGTAGGGCTATTAAGCTACAAAAATTGCTACGCCTTTTCGTTTTGAATCCCAATAAATTGGGGGGAGGGGGGGAGGCAGACCCGTCATGGCCAAGCCCGTGCTCATGTCCAAAATAAACAATATGGTACACAAACACTAGTTGACGGTGTTACAAAATGACTACATAATGCAACAATAACTTACAATTCTTGTTTCATTTTCCTCAGTTTTGCTTTAACTTCTGCTAATTCAACAGAGAGGTGTTGCTTTGTTGCTGGTGAAGCAAAACTCTCTTTCCGAGAAAGAGATGAATTTGGACTTCCTTGCTGAGACTGGAAAAAACAATAGAAAGTTACTCATTACGATACTTGTAATACTTTTTCTCTGAGCTTGGCTCTGTATAAGTAGTCACAAATATGTAAGAAGCAACTATATTCAGAAGTAACAGAGTCTTTTTGATTTGGCATCGCCTACGCAATTTAATCACACCCCATGTGAGGCGGTAGACATAGGGTTTTAAACAAAGATGTGAACGAGAATATCGGTTGGAAACCGAAGACTTATCGATCGATAGTTAGGGGATCCCCCAAAACAGAAACTGCAGTTTCGATTCATCCGCTCTTGTAACTTGCGCACTGCGCATCGCACACACACACTCGGCGGGTTTCAAACTTCTCTCGCTTTACAAAAATCTAGATCATTATATCAATAATTGATTGATAACTCGCTAATTATACGACATAATTCATCCAAAATCAATAGGCTTCTGGTCCGAGATAAGATGAATGCACATGCAAAATCTGGAGCAGATTCAATCTTGCTTTCGTGAGATATCGCGTGCATCTAACAGACACACAGACAGACAGACATACATACAGACAAATACCTATCAATATACTTACCGATCTTAAGATCGATAAGTAATGAACAATAAAGCGTTACTCGTTGCGACGCTTTTATCACAACTTTTGGTCTGAGTGCAGCTCTGTACATTTACTCACTGATAGATACTACTTTTTAGAATGACCGACATCTTTTCAATTTGACATCGCTCACCCAATCTAATTTGAAATATTGATTTTGAAACCTAGGCTGGCAAAAAAGTGTTTAGTTCAACACTTCATAACCACGAGGTCATTCCTCTTTAAATTTATTTTAAACATCGAATAATGTCAAGTGGAATTTGAGATAATGCAAGAGGTGTAATTATTTGTATAAGTTTTCTGTGAGCAAGGTTGAGGTAAAATTGCAAGCAAGAGGAACCACTACATTGAACTTTTCTGAATCGAAAGTGAGGATGACAAAAAGCATTCAAGCAACAATGGTTCACTCTGAATAATATTACTGTTGAATTAAAGTAGACAATTTTATTATTTTATTTACTTTAAACTTTGTGTATGAAGTATAGTTTTGGAACCTACCTGAAGATAATCTCTTTCTTGGGTGAGGCCAGTTATCATCTGTAAAAGTAGATTTAAAAAAATTATCAATGTTTTTATGAAACCTTTCACACTTTGATTCAAACAAGGGTGGAAGACATTGGACATTCTCCTTTAACATGGATAAATATTTTTAAACAGACACATTTTTGCAGAACTATAGTGTATTACACAAGAACTATAATTAATGAAAATTATATTTTCAAATGAAACCGTTTAAATTACGGTACTCCTGAATTTAGTAACTCAGAATAGTAAGCATTCAATTCATTTTGTAAATCCCTGACATTAAATAAAATATTATTAAACTTTTGTCAGTCTACTGAAAACTGAAAAAATATCTCGTAAATTGAACAAAACTCACCATTCCAAAGTTATCTCTCTCAGCGACCAACTTCTTGACATGAAAAGTTACATTTCTCAAAAAATCATCCAATTCAGCGGGGGGTAGTTGTTCATCCTGATCCATCCATTGGAAATTCAGTACATTATCTGTGTTTTCAGTAATCTGGGAAAAGAAATTATTATTAAAAAAAGGTCAGGTCAAAGATTAAAGTTCAACAGGGTAAAATTCAGGAAGTGATTTTTTGCAAACATTCTCATAAAACTGAATTTAACAAATGTTGTTTTAAATGATAATTTTGACTTTTTTCATGAGCTAAAAAATACAGAGATCACTAATACATTCTGTAACATACAGTTAATTCATTTAGGTTTTACAGAGAAATTTGCACATATCATCATTTTTGAGAGAGTCTAGATTAACACTGGTTCTCAACCTGTGGGCAATGGCCCACTGCTGGGCCACAGAAAGATTTAAAGGTGGGCCGCAGAATGCTAGTTTTATTTATGTCACAATAGTTAATTTTGATTGTAGCAGCAATAAATGACGATGCTGTTTTCTGCTACTGAATGGTAATTTTCATTCTAATTATAAACGTTGAAGGGTCCATTTCCGCAGAAAGATCTCGATTTTTTTGTAGTTTTCCACTTGCAATAAAAAGTTAATGGGCCACGAGAATTTTTGAGCAACAAAAATGGGCCACAAAAAAAAAGGTTGAGAACCACTGGTCCAGAAGAACAGTTTTAGATTTTTTAAACAAATTCAATCAGAGAAAGATCACGCACACTCCTCAGAAGTAAAGGAGTAAGAGGAAGTTGAATAGGTTCTACCCATGAATTTGAAACAAATAACTAGTTAAATATTCCCAAACCCATGAGTCTTATGAACTCTTTCCCTAGTATAAATATGGGATTCCTATGTTAACTGGTATTCAGTTACGGCTTCCCCCACCATCGAGTCCATGTATTTGTAACAAATAACTGGGTAACTACTCCCATACCAGACATAACCGAATATAAGGCTATTAGCAATGGTTCACCACATGATTAAACAACTTATTGGCTTTCCTCTGCCCCCTCAGGAAAAATATAAAACAATTCTTACATCCTTAATGTGGTTCATCATTATTTCCATTCCTTGATATGTCAGTTGCTTCATCTTTTCAATGTAGTGTTCTCGGTCGTCACACTAGAAAAGAAAAAATATTGTTCGAAATATTTATAGGTACTTCAAGTTGGCGCTGATTTAAAGCCTTTCATGTCGACTGTGATTAATCTGCCAGAATTTCTTATATGGTTGAATATGCATAGAATGCAAGCAGTTGGAGGAGGACAACAATTGGCACAAAACGGATTTTACTTCTCCTTTTACAAGAAAACTCTCCATTTTTTCTAGTTATTTATCGATTTTAATCGGTAAGTATGTTGATAGGTATTTATCTGTCTGTTTGTCTGTCTGTTAGATGCACGCGATATCTCACGAAAGCGAGATTGAATCTGCTCCAGATTTTGCATGTGCATTCATCATATGTCGTACCAGAAGCCTATTGATTTTGGATGAATTATGTCGTATAATTAGCGAGTTATTAATTAATTAGTGATGGGACACAAGGTGTCACTATGGAGTAAGAGCGCAGTTTTGGGGGATCCGCTAACTTTCGATCAATAAGTCTTCGGTCATTGACTGATATGCTCGTTTTATTACTTGACAAGGTTATTTTACAGGTGTTTTTACTTTGTTGAGCATGAATTGTTTGAACCTAATGAGATTTGGAATCTACCAATCAAACTAACACCATAAATACCACTGGAATGATAAACAGCGAGTCCAATGGGTGATAGAAGAGTTTGGAAGGGGACCACGAGTCATAAAAGGTTGGGGGAACCACTGTCTCACTCTCAAGCATTCAATAGTCTTGCTGCACATTAACACAAATATATTTCTGTAACGTTTAATCTTCAGGAATTTCAAATTTAAACTTTTTCAAAAAAATACAGACACAAATAAAAATTACATGTCATCATCATTAGAGTTGTTTGCCTAAGTTTTGTAGTAAATATTTGTTTTAGAACGCCAACACATTAACTGCGATAAATTATGGTTCTGTCTAGCAACCTGTGACAATATGTATATTTAAAGAGCCATAAATATATAAATTACCACTATTAAACCAAGAAAAGGTTGGGAGTGCTGTGAAGACATTAAAAATTTCCATGCATGTAACATAATCTTCTGAGCTATTTTTTATTAATAAATTATGAATACGGTAAGTGCAAAGTACTCAAAGATGAGTTATTAATCGATAAATTAGAATCAAAATGCCTGTGAAGTTTGATTACTGGTGTATTCCAATGAATTAAACGAACAAAAATTTAGTTTGGTATCTTCATGAAATCTAAATCTATAAAATACCACTATCATACCAGGAATGTGTAAGTAAGTGCTGTTAAATTGATGATTTTCTGAATGTTTTCTCAGTAAACTACGTATACTAAAGTTCAAGATACTCAAAAACGAACTACAGGCGCTTTAAATGTGTAAATTACCACTATAAAGTCTGAGGACTTCGACTATTGGTGTATTTCATGTCAACAAAAGTCTAATTTTATCCTTTTAGCCTATAAATTTTGTCAATTAAGTCAGAGTATCCATAAGTCATACAATTCCAATTTTGTTATGAAGTCAGTAATATGTCTTAACCAGTTTGTTGTTTTTAATCAGGTATTGTTAAAGTATTTTTACTTCATTTAATACATCTGTGAGGGCCAAAACAATATATGGTATCGATAAATTCCCTTTGCAATTTTGAAAAATTTCAAGACTTCATGGACACCTTATCATGAAAATTCAAGTATTTGAAGTTACCCATTGAATTGCTGGTTTCTCCTGGTAGTGTGTGTACCAGGTTAAGGCTAGACCATAATTTTATTCGGATTTTCCCTAATTTAATTCTTTTATGAGTTCGGGGACTGTTTTGTGTTAGCCGAGTGAATATACCCCATGCCCATAGGTTTCCGTCCCTTTACACAACTTGATGTAAAGTAGCCGAACAAAATTAGTTACCTCTATATTGGTACACACACTTCTGGAGCGACAAATTATGTTACATGCCGATTAAAGCTTAAATTAAATGAAAAAGCTATCAATAATGTTCGACAACACAATTCAAGTTTACGATTATTTGTTCAGGACGTTACTCAAAAATAATTTCCGAAGCGTCATCGAGATCACCAGGGGGTAGGTGGTAAATTAGTCAAAAGCCCTCAAGTGGCACTTAGCTCTGCGTCACTGAGTATGAAATGCTTAAAGTGGATTAATTTGAAATCAATACCAGATACTTGATCGAATATTTTTCGCTAAAACTGGGATTCAAAATCTCGCTTACTGAAACTTAACACAAGAATTTCTTTGAACAAATTAGATATTTAAATCCATTTAAGATAATTCATACAGGACATCCATAAAGTCAATTATTTTTAAATTGGTGGATTTCTCGATACCATATATAGAATTTGACCCTTACAGATGTATTAAATGAAGTAAAAAACCTAAACAAACCTGGTTAATAAGATAAATTAACTTGACACTTAAACAAGGATTTAAAAAATGAAATTGCTCTACAAAAACTTGATAATACAGAAGATTTTGCTAATAAATTTATCACTTATGCAAACTCCTTAACTCTTGTGTAAGTAGGCACTATGGCCAAGTGTTTAAAGCTTTCTTCGCTAGGTAAAACTGGCAATGACTATGTCAATGTGAAGTAATTGGCTGTGATTTGTTTTGATTCTTTGAACGCAAAGCATTTAGTCTTATACTTTTGTTTGTTGGCTTTTTGATATCAGACATAGAACACAAAATAAGTGACGAAACCCTAAAAGCAAAACCAAAGTATTTTTATAGAATAGCAGGGGAAGCAAGAGCAGGTGTCTGGAAGAGGCATGTCATTACTTATCAATCTCGATCGTAAGTATGTTGATAGGTATTTGTCTGTCTGTTAGACACTCTCGTATGTTACGCGATATCTCTCGAAAGCGAGGTTGAATCTGCCCGAAATTTTGCATGTGCATTCATCATAAATCGGCCCAGAAGCCTATTGATTTTGGATTGTGTCGTATGATTAGCGAGTTATTAATTAATTAGTGATGAGACACGTGGTGTCGCTATTAAGTCAGAGCGAAGGATACACGGCGCTAGATCGATAAGTCGGCGGTCTCTGATCGCTATCTCGTTTGCTAATTACCAAATATGCATGTCTCACCATAAATAAAACAAACAGAAATAACTTGTTATTTCTCTTGCCTGGATTCGGTTAATTCCCAAAAATTATATTTTTCAACAGATCACTGGCTGTTTGAATAGCGTCTTGTTCAGAATAGAAATCAAGGAATACCCCAAATAGTGCTTAATGTCTTATAGATCTTTTCAAAAAATTTTCCAATAAATCACAGCTATGTCTCACTCTCACCTGAATAGCACATCCCACAATTAGTAGCAATAATTTCTGTAATTCAGCAATTCCGGCTTCTGTTGTTGGTTCCTGAGCCAATGTTAAGATATTAGGAAGAGACATCACTATGACTTGGCCTTGTATGTCCTGAAAAATACGAAAATTTGGTTGTAATGACTGGGTATGATTTCACGGCTGTGATATAAATTGAAAGACAAAAAACACATTTACACAAAGGTTATTGTTAGCATTTGAACAACCTTCAAAAAACCATAGAAGGATAGGTACGGTAGTTAGTCCCATAGAAACCCAATGGATAGCAGATAATTTTATTTTACTGTGTTCATTTGCCTTGAAAGTTGTCCAACTAGACAATTCTCAACACCCTAGACAGACTAATCATATTATGATGATGTCGACTTTCAAAGAAATGCCCTCAAGGTCAGAAGATATGAATAATAAAAGTAATAATAAATTTGCAAGCACCAATTTTTTTTTTCACAATTTATGATTTTTTGAAATTTCAATATTGGAAAGAGAAGTCCAGTGATATCATTGTTTCCACTCTCCCCCCCCCCACCCCCACCCCGACTGAAATTTCAAACTTTGAACGAACAAAGTACAACAAGCAGTTTTATAACACTTAGCACATATTATATAATTTGTATCACCTAGAGGTCGTTTGAAAAGATCAGATTTAAATGAAATTCAAATGTCCCAAATTACTGTTTTTTGTGTCAATTCTGGAGTCCTTTCTCTTTTGCATCGTAAGGATATGTTTTTAGGTTTATTTGCGGAGTAAATAAACAAATATTTCTAGAATAGGACATTCAAAAACAAAAATAAGTCACAAGGTAGTATCCTAGAGTACCAAAACTATCAGAGTATGTACATCTTTGGGCGCTCCAGAAGTAGCCTATGCGTACCAATAAAGAGGTAACTAATTTTGTTCGCTTACTTTACATCAAGTTGTGTAAAGGGACTGAAGCCTATGGGCAGGTGGGATTTTTTCTTGGCTAAGACAGACAGTCCCCGAACGCATAATAGAACTAAAATAAGGAAAATCGGTATAAAATTATGGACCAACCCGGTACACATACTACGAGAGTAACCATCTTTGTTATATAAGCGTTCTTAAACAGGTGGTCAAGCTTCCATTAATTACCTGGCTTACAGTAATGTATTATCATATTTAATGACTCATACGCATAGCATGAGCTACTTACGCTATTCATAAAATTTACACTTTTATTGTTGCTCAGGTATTTATTATGGCACCTGTACCTTTGTGTATCACAATAGTTCGGCTATTGAATGCTTTGTTATGTCACAGTACAAGCCACTCCTATTTCAAGCTATTTTAATTATGACAATACAATAGAACACTCTTGTAAACGCGGGATGTAATAATAATTAAAATCTCATTTTTCAGAGTCGCTGGTTTTATATTTTTTATGAAACTTTGTTGAATCGGTAATTCTAGAAGACATAAGAGCATATAATATGAAGATTTATATTGTCTTAAAATGTATTAAGGGATACAAAACACTGGTCAGTGCATTGGTGTATTCACATGGGTGTACAACAGGCCACAACCTGGCCCGTCAAACAATTTAGTTTGGCCCTTGTCAAAACTCAGATTTTTCCCCATCAAGCATAAAGTCGATCACATGGGTAATATTACATAATGATTTTTGCGCATGTCGGAGTGTTAAATCTTTTGACACTTTGTCATTTTCATTTATTACTCCAAGGCTATCAAAACTTTGGCAAAATTCAAACATAAAAGTTGGACAAATTAGATTTATGATGACACAATTTGAGTTTCTATATTCTTGTATGTCATTTCACTGAAGAAGCAAGGAACTTCTCTATTGTTAGCTAGCTCAAAGTTCGAAGTCCAAAATTGGTTCTTTGAATAAATTATCGTATATCGTAAATTTTGATAAATATCCAATTTGATTTTGACACCCCCAAAGCATCTTGTAGGCCATAAGTTCACTGAGGAAGCAACCTCCCTGACTTCCTTGTTTGAGCCAAAGTTCAAAGTTCATATAGTCCCCCAGGGTGAAAGAATTGCCAAGTATTTCATTTGAAAATATTCCAATGAATTAAACTTGACAGAATTCTTCAAAATAGAGCAAACGTCATACTTGAGATAGACTGTGTTTTTTCGTTTTTTTTTCCTGTTGTTTGTTGATTATTGCCTTTCCTAGTTATTCCAAATAAAACTCAAATGGGCTAAGCTTAATTTGAGGGCTCAATGGTAAAGTGGTAAAGTATTAGACTTATCCAATCTGGTATCTCAGATTAAAATAAATTGACTGGATCACTATGGACTGGCAACAGGGCGAGAGGCCGTGGTTCGCCAAATGATTAAGCTGTTTTAGCAGCTTTCCCCTCCCCCTGGGATAAATATGTAAATCTTATTATTATTTTATCTTGAAAAAAAAACAAATTATTCACACAAATTCTTCAATATACAAAACCATTCAAATTTCAAATATAAATGAAACCGCCCCAAAATAGCATTACTTTCTAAGACTGCCTTAGAAATCAATTCGGCATGAATCGTTCTATAAATAATGTTCGTTTCGGTATCAATTAGAATAGGTATATCGTGGAAATAGGCTTTCAAAATCACTGGATTGGAACCTGCCATTCAAACGAGGTATTGTAAAGTTGGTTGGTCAGTGATGAATGTAATAACCACAGAAAAATAACAAATAACAAGTATGTTGAATTTGGAATGTTCTTTTACGAATAGTATCCACATTAATGTTCGAAGATACTACTTTTGAATTCATTTTTTTCTGAGCATTTTCATATATATTTCCTCAAACAAAGTTCCAAACAAGTTGAGATTATATAGGATTTCCATGAAGTCCTAAAAAGGGGCTCCCAAAGTATGCGAACCAAGATGGCGGACATCGGAACGTAACATGGGTAACAGGTTAGGGTTAGGCGATAATTTTTTTCCAATTTTCCTTGTTTTAGTTCTATTATTAGTTCGAAGACTAGCCAAGAGCCTCCCGTAGTATTTATACCTAAAATTATGGCCTAACCCTAACCTAGTACACATATTACATTGCGATGTCCGCCATCTTGGTTCGCATACTTCGGGAGCACCCCTAAAAATTGATAAAACCGCAAAGAGAATTATCGATACCATATATGTTTTAGCCCTCACAGATGTATTGAGTAAAAATACTTGAACAATTACTGATTGAAAACAATAAACCTGGTTAAGATATATTGATAACTGACTTCATAACAAAATTGTATAAATTGTAACGGTACTTTATGAATGCCCTGTACAATATTTTCAGATAGAAGATGTATTGGAAGGTGGTTGGTCGCCAATGAATGTTAGAAACTACAGAAAAATAACAACAATAATTAGGTTTGAATGTTAATTTCTGAATTTTTACACTGGTGTTAGGAATGCCGTTTTCAATTACTTTCTATATCTTTCACCTGAACATGGCTTCAGGTAAGTAGCCATGAATTGATATTTTGGACCGTATTTGCTCAGTTTGCAGCCCGGGCCTATATTTTTTTCAACTAACTCACTAACCGGGCCCTCATTCAAACTGGCTCTTATTCAAGCCTGGGCGCTTGTTATTTTAGATCGATACAATAATTAATACATTGTTATTTCGCCTTATTTCCAGTTTTCAAGTATGATTTAAACGAGAACAACGAAAATTTTGACTTTTTCTACGCACCGCAGGTACAAATCCGCAAAAGAAGAAAAGTTTTGCGACGCCCTATCAGTATTAAAACGATGCACTTGGGCGTCGCGACGTTGAGAACCACGGTGTTACGTAATGAATGCTATCTGTTATGTACTTAGACGCCTAAGGCGTGAGTGTTATCTACCGACGCTTAAAATTCAACAGCTTTGTGACAAAAGCTCTCCTTATTTCCTATTGTTCTCTACCGCTGAAAAATCAGCTTTTACATCGGGTATTCAAGCATCGGCCCCTATTTATTTTTATGTTCTGTTCACACGGGCGGCTATTCAAACGGGCCCTTAATCGAGATCGGGCGGTAAACGAGCATATACGGTATATGAATGTATTTAGAATAACAGATTGTTTATTTTTTTTCTGCACACCTCGGAAATGACCAACTTAAAAAGATAATGACGTAATATAATACAACACAAGTCAAGCTTGAAGCAACCAGTTTTCCTTAATCTGTGGTTTTGAGTGTAATTTGATAATGTCGGTTGGCAGAACTTTTTCTTTGTTATTAACCAATCAACCATGACGCTTGTACGAGTTGTTTGACCAAAGATTTTAATAACATGGCACTTTTCAACATTTTTATGGTGAAAGTTATCACTATGAGAATACAACATTTTTACGGGAAAGGGGGAGGAGATGTTATTCCAAAACTGTGAGCAACTACTGACACATTCTTACATGGGAATTTCAATCTGCTTTTGAAATGAAGGGCTCCACACTTTGATGTCACCAGAAGGGTAGGTATCTATGCATAGGTGATGTCACCAGAAGGGTAGGTATCTATGCATAGGTATCTATTTATCAGCCAAGAAGAGATAACCAAAACATGGTACCTGTACTTGGCTTGGCTATATTCCACAAAACTTGATTCACAGATTCATTAGGAATTGTTTTTTTTTTTAAATTAAACATTTTAAGAAGTTGAAATAGAAAAAATAGATTTACTGTGAACTAAAAAAAATCAGAACTCTGTATATTGTCTTTTTTTCAAATTATTGCAATATCAACAGATATATAAAGGCAGCCTGCTTTTGAAATAAACGACTTCACACCTCAAAGTTGTCAAAACCTGTTAAGTAAAAATTATATCTGTATGGATATCTATTTAACAGGTGTTAAAATAATTTATTAAGTGGTAACAACTTAATTTTATTACAAGTAGAAAGATTGTAAACATGTTGTGTATTGCACATATGGAAATTTTGATTGAACATTATTTTATTTGAAGTAATTATGATGTCACACAGATGTTATCTCTAGACATATTGTGACTGAACGATCACAATTTTCCAGTCATCAATTTTATTGCTGATTGATTAGTTCTATGACATCATACAATCGTGTCTGTGACAACACAATCTTAGAAAATTTGAAAATAAATGAGTTAAAACATAG